TGTGCACTGCTAGAAAGGGTTGCTCGATCAAATTCGCGATACGCTTGTTCAAGGACTTTCTCGTAGACCACAAATGTTGCCATCGTGTGTGAAATCCTGGAATGTAATGGTTACACCTGATGTGAAATAGATGCTTGGGGAGGCAATAAAAATGACCTTCTGCTTTAACAAGACCGGTCCCAAACCTGCATAGAATCCGCACACCCCTTCCTGCTTAGCCATCTTATAGAACCCATACGCAAACCCCCGAGCAAAGGTCGGTTCAGAGACAAGCCTTATACGGACTGCTTGAAAAGGGCACATTGCAAGGTCGCCTAAGAACTCGGCAGAGGCAGATGAAGCTAGATAGATAGTATTATGGTTCTTTGACACCACCTTACGTCCCAGAGCACCAATCGCAATTTGTTTAAATACCTCATATCCTCCAAACTTGAAGCCTCCCTGCAGGAATACCCAACAACGGTTGGACCAAACCCAGTAAGAAGCGCACCCGCGCCGTCTTTGGCTATAACTTGCTTCAGTCCTGCATACTCCACGGTTATACGTAAGGGGGTCAAGCTGGATCCTTGTTTTAACACTGTGGCAATCAGCTGAGGGGATCTTCGTCCATCGTCACAAGGCATGAATCTGCGAAGAGAAAAGACCGTAGGCTAAGTTAATCTTTTGACTGGCATGACTTACACATCGATTGGAGTGAGGATCGCGTGAGTAAATGAGCAACAAAAGGCACCGGCAGCCGAATATCTGCTATATAACAAAGCACCAGCTGAGAGTGAATTCGAGCCAACCGCACTCCTTTCAGATTCACATGCCTTTGCGGATGGCTGAGGGGGATGAGCATGAGAGGACATGGTGTTAATATTGATACGAATTGAGCTAGGCGTTGGCTTATAAAGCGATATATATTCTCCACCACTGTTTCTCTCACAACTCTGCAACAAACCCGGCTATATTTCAACTTATACTAGGTCGGATATGCAAAATGACGCCTAGTGTGAGAGTCATTTTTGCGTCATTTGTCGGTGTTTATAGAGGTAACTGGCCAACCTACGTTTCCAACGAGATGAACTTCACTCCAGTTCCTCGCTCACGGCAGAGCGGAGAAACTGATAATAGAAACACTCATCGTTGATTACTCGAGGCGAGGTTTACTTCATGGACGAGTGCTGCGGCTACCAACTGTATAGGCTGCGGCAGCATTCGCGAAACTCCGCATCCGCTCCAAATCCGCTCCGCAGATTGCGAATGCGGATATGACTTTGACATCTAACGGAGCGGATTTGCCGCAGCCTAACTCTGAATCGTGTTATGCTAGACTCAACGCTGCCGGGGTTTGTCCAGGGCCAGCTTGACACCTGCTTTTCCATCGTCCATCGCCCTCTAGATCACTGGGGAACTCGAACTGGGTTTCGAGTTCTAGTCCTTCACACTTACTTATAGACTTTGGGCTCGACTTCCAGCCAGCACACCATTGATGTAAGAGAGAATTATCCGGTCAAACGAAGTGATATTCAGAAGTAACCTTTCCAACATTGATACTTAATCAAATAACTTGGAAAATGTGCAAAAGGAACGTTCACGGCTAGGCGGGATAGAAGAAATAGATGATCCTCCCCTAATATGAAAAAGATATGATTTACAAATAAAAAACCGAAGCCAATGCATCATCTCCATCCTTCTTGCTTTACCACAGACCAAGTCCACTCTACACAAAGACTAGAATTAGCTGTCAATTAGGGAAAGGACGGGAAGCTACAATGTCAGTCTAGAATGGTTGTCGAGCAGCACTCTATAAGTCTTGCTAAAATGAGATCAAAATTCCATTCCTCACGCCACCTTTTTACAATCATTCTAAACCAAAGTGATTCCGGTATAACACCCGTCATTCCTCACCAACTCCACCTTCTTCCCGTCATCAAGCCCAACAGAATACAAACTGCCCCCCAAATCAGTCACATACACAATATTATTCTTCCAATCCAACTTCAAGCCAATCGGCTCATGAAAATGTCGTGCCAAAATAACCTTCTGCATATCGCCCTGCTCCCCACCAACATAAGACCGATATAAAGCACACCCCATCGGATGCTCCCCCCGATCCGTCCAATACAAAGTCTGCGTATCGGTATCAATCTCAACATCGATCGGTTCCGGCAAAGAATCAAACAAAAGCTCGATATCGGATCGATTCTCCGCCGTCTCACCGGGTGGAATTTCAAGTCCCGCGCGGAACATCCGGCCCCGTCCACCCTTGCTAGGACCTTTTTGCGTCCAGTACATCATACCATTTTTGTCGTCGATGGCGATACCAACGCACCACTGCCGCATTTGCTCGCCGAGTGCCATGTCTGCGGTGATGCGGCGCTGGACGACGATTTCATGGTTTGTCCCGTCATAGTTTACCCGGTGTACACTGGTACCCTCGCGGTCGCAGAAGTAGACCTTCTTCCGCATGTCACTGACAGCTATTTGCTTGGGCGTGTGCACCTTTCCCTTCGAAATTAGACACCGGACTTCACTTCCGTCCATATTCGCCGTCCACACAGAGCCATCACAGGCAGCAGTACTATGGCCCATGTTCGTCCAGAAAATGCGCTGACATTCAAGCGAAACGGCAATACCGTCCGGCAGGTTCTGGCCCACGACGATAGGCGTGAGTTTCTGCGTTGCCAGATTCAAACGCAGAATCTTTCCGTTAGTGTAGACTTGCGAGACGTCGCGCGCGTTTCCGCCCAGTCCCACGTCCAACATGTAAATGTTCTTTGCTGCGGTGCGCGGGTTCGCGGGTTGTGATTCAGCGGTGGCAGATCTGGCGATTGGTGGGTATAGACCGCCCTTTTCGCTCTTCTTGCCCAGACGGCCGTGTTTGATGTAGTGCTCGCGTAACCAGTCGACGGTCTTTTCGGGATCCAGACCACGTTCTTGCACGTAGTTGTCTTCGATGAAGGCGACTGTGTCGAGGCCGACTTGGTCCATGAGTTGGCAGGGGAGGGGTCCGTTTTTGAACATGTGTTCCCAGAGGAGATCGATTTCGGCGGGGTCACTGACGCCGTCGGAGAGGATGTTCATGATTTCGCGTTTGACTGCTGCCCAGAGGCGATTGAAAATGAATCTACGAAGAACAAGAGTCAGTCGAGGACACACATAGGAGGATAGAAGGATAGTACACACCCTGTCGATTCGCGCCGCGCAGTCACTGGCAACAGTCCACACTCGCCCAGGACATCCTCCAGATAAGTAAAAATCTTAGGATTTGTCTCACCACAAGTCATCATCTCTACGGTCCGAATCACCGGCGGCATAGTAAAATGCATATTAAGAAACCATCTCTTCCGCTCAGCAGAAACCTCCGTAGCCAACAAACTCGACTTGAAAGACGAGCTATTCGAGGCAATAATACAATCTGCCGGACATCTTTCATCCAACTCCCGGAAAGTCTCAATCTTGAGATCCAGTTTCTCAGGAATAGCCTCAATAACCAACCACGCATTGCCCACCGCATCTTTCACCTCAGTAAAGGTCTTGCAGTTGCCAAAGGGCGCCTGGGTGTACGACTCAAAATCAACAGTCGAAAAGGCGCGATCGGTCAATCCTCCGTTGGCATGGTGGTCCTCCTCATCGCGCGCTTCGTGGGCCTCTTGGGAAGATCCCTTGTCTTTCCTGATGCGGGGCATCATCGAAAACTCTTGCTTGTGGGCGTCGATGTACTCCACGACATCCTGCAATGCCTCTGTCGATGGATCCCGGACATGCACGTTGTAGCCGGCTGCGACGAAGACGCAGCCAATACGCCGGCCCAGGACGCCGCCACCAATTATGGCGACGGGACGGTCGGTACGAGGTTTGACTGCCATGATGGCTTGGTCTGGATAAAGTTAAATGAAAGGGATGATGATTTGATAATGATGTTCAAGGATTAGATATGCGGTCCGGTATGTCGATATGACGTATAAGGGAAAGTGGAAGGCAAGATGCAACGAAACTGTCCGGAAATGAAAACGCCAGTTATATATCTTTTCTCAGAAGGCTCAAACATCGAATATATTGCATAGGTACTTATCCACGCCGTTCATCATATTCCAAATTCTACCTTCACTGGACCGGTCATAAACTGCGCCACCGGAAAGCCGGCAGCATCAAGAATGAACAAATAGTGTTTGGATACCCCTTTCCGACAAAATCCAGTTTCGGAACACTCGGGCTGGAGAACTTTGTTCCTAAAATTGCGTTGATAGTGGATCTTTGGCCCGGTTGGATATAGATCCACCAAGATGTCGCAAAATGGGCCCGTGCTTGGCTCGTTTGATAGACGGTGCGGAGTCGGTTCGGAGTCGGTTCGGAGTCGGTGCGGAGACAATCCGGACGTCATCGGGTTGCCGAAGTATTTGTTGTGCCCGGCTAGGTTGGAAGATGAATAGATCGTCGACCAGTCTATTACTTAATCGAGTTCAATTCTCCGAGTTGCTCAAGGTGTGGACAGGGGTAGACTGGATAGGGGGTAGGCCTTCACACATCTGCAGGCTGCATGTCACTACGTGCAGCATATAACGAGATTAATTGAAAGATTGGAGACTAATGCAGTTCCCGGTCGACCCGATCACCCCAAAACACCATACTGAAGGCAACATGTCACAATTTCATATCTCAACGCTTAAGGCTAATTCTATGGTTCTGGGGTATCTAAGCATTAGATATAATATACTATTTGTATTTATAAGCTCAAGAAATATTTTTGGGCCTTGAAAACATACATATGTATATTTGCACTGCCGACCGGGGAGTATTTTGGTATTGCAGGCAAGTAACTATTTCATGAATATGCCGGTTAGACTAAAGTATTCCTAGTGTAAGGAAATTCTAGCATACAAAAAGTCAGGTTAAAATATATTCTCGCTGTTGATTTATTGGCACCTGAAAATTCGCATGTAGTATGGTGTTTTGGGGTGATCGGGGCGGCCGGGTGATCGGAAACTACGTTACTACCGTCCTCAATGTCTTTTTTGGGTACTCTTCAACGATGTAAGCCAAAATGTGAATACACGATTTTCAATTCCATTTACAGTCTATCTATTGATACACAGCTGCCAACAAGCTGCATTTCCTCACATTCAACTAGAACAAAAACACCTGATCCGTAGCCTTGGACAAAACCCCAGGCTCCTTCCACCCGAGTCCACCGAGCGCTTTCTTCATGGCATTGATCATAGGTGGAGGCCCACACAACAGCGTCTTGTTGGTCTCATCCGCAGGTGCCAAGTATTTCTTGATCAGATCCGGACTAACAAAGCCTTTATGCCCTTTCCATCCCTCTCCAGCCTGTGAAAGCACATACTGCACTTGAAACTTGCTCGGGAACCGCTTAGCAAATTCATCCAGCTCCTTCCGTAGCAAAATATCCTGCTCCGTGTTATTTGCATAGAGCAGACTCATCTGCGTCGAATCGGTTTCATCGTCACAGATCGCACGGATCAGCTGATACATGGGCGTGATCCCCGTTCCACCGGCGATCATACCGATATGTTTGGCATAGGTAGGACTATACTGCATAGCACCCTTAGGTCCACGGATTTCAATCATATCCCCGACTTGCATTGACTCGAGGTGTTTTGTCATTTGGCCCCGCGGGTATACCTTGACCAACAGCTCGATACGCCCCAAGTCGGTGTTGTTTGAGACGGGGGTATACGAGCGTGAAATACTTTGACCATTGATAGTCGCGCGCAGCGCAATGTGTTGACCAGTGGGGAGACCCAGGACATCGTCCGCATTGGGGAGCCCAAACACGAAGCGGTATACATTGGGTGCGACCGAGTCCTTCCGCGCGAGGGGGAAATTCTTCCATTTGCGAGGGTCTAGAGGAGGAGTGTGTTTTGATTTGCTCATTTTGCTGCTACCTGTAGGCATTTCCTTTCGGAAGATGATCTTGTCGGTGCGTGTGGTGCGGTGTGGAGAGTAATGGGTGAACTCTTGCTGGACGTCCAGCTTGGTTGATAGCCACATTGTCAGACCCATTGTGATAGACAATTGGGCCACACTTGCAATACCAAATCCAGACCAGAATTGGCCTGAAGAAGTAGAGCGGTTGGAGAGGAGAGCGGAGGCATGGCTGGACAGTTGGTTGAGCGACTCAAGGGTTGGTCTCCATCCTTGTCGGTAGCTGTGGACTGTTACTGCGCCCAAAACGCCAGTGAAACCGAGTTTGATGAGAGTGGAAACAGTAGAGTGAAGTAGACTCTTTGAACTGTTTTTCATATTGATTGCTGCTGTCTGAGCAACTTGTTCGAATGTCGGGCGGTAGACCTCGATAGTCTCAGCGTGTTCCTAATCCAACTCATTAGTGGTGCGTGACAATGACCGAGAGAAAGTTTTCTACGTACCTCAGTTGGGAGATCTCCGATATGATATTTTTCGAGCTCTTCCCGGGCTTCATCGGAGTGTCCTGTTTCCTCAAATGCTTCGGTAGCATCGGTGCCCGCAACTTCAATCAAAATGGCACTGCCACCAGGATGATCTTCAAGGTACTTGGTGATATCGTAAACCTTGTTATGCAGGACGATCCACACATCGTCGGTCTTGTTGTGTCTCTGTATTTCTTCAAAGGTGTACATTGCGAAGTATGCTCGGATGACGGATCGATGGAGCACACACAACGCAACATGGTCCACGGGTATATATAGGATTAAACTCAAACCATTCAGTCCCTGCTTTCACACATCGGACATGTTCGGATCTAGCAAAACTCAGTTCTTGGCCCGAAAATAAGGGCAATTCTTTTGCCACGCGAATATCCTCATCTTAATTGGCACGTTAGTGCCCCACCGGCCTCTCGCGCGAAGTTCGCACGAGTTTCGGAGTGAACGGATCGGCATCAACTCCACTCCTCTGGATAATCGGCATTTATAGGTGACAGCCTGCTAGAGTCTACGGAAAACCCACTGATATATAAAGACGGCTGCCGTGATGGCCATCATAAACCAGCAACGCTGCAATCAGATCGAAATTTGATCATAATGCCCATTCCCACCGGAATATCGACACGTCTCAACCCTTCGTTCTACTTGATCGGAGATGACATCTCAACTGCTCAGTCAGTGGCAATTGACTCCAAATGGAAGCTTGAAGATGCAAAACGAGCTGTTGGTGGTTTCTTCCATGTGGCTCAGCCATTAGGTAAGCACTATCAATCGACCACGGAGTCATCTCCGCTAACACCACCAGGTCTGAGCTTCTACGTCGGCGATAGCGACGAAGAAATCTCTACAGTTGAGGACATTCTCTCCACGCCTTCATCCATAACCCCAATTGGCCTTCGCATCGATGGCCAGGCAGTCCACAGTCCCCAGGGCCCCGAGGGCCTCCCACTCGTTGGTAGCTTCTACGAAATCTTCCCCGACCACCTGGGCAACCACTATCGTCTCTTCCGAAAGTACGGCCATGTCATCAAGACAACTAACATGGGAAAAACAATATACCTCACCGATAGCCCCGAGGTAGCAGCCGTGGCCCTAGCCGAATCAGCCTATATGACGAAAAAGATCAACGAGAATCATCCTCTTTGGGGTATTAAAGACAACACTGCTATCTTCATTGGCGACACAGAAACAGAGAACTGGCGTCTTGCACACAAGTTCCTGCCACCGGCTATGGGACCCAAGGCTGTGAGGCACTATACACCACTGATGCAGGAGTGTGTCCGCAAGTCATTCACTGTGTTCGATGAACTTGATAGCCGTGATCAGTCTTGGAATGTATACCAGTACATGGTAAAACTTGCCTCTCAGACTATCGGCAAGTTCTCGCTTGGTGCGGATTTTGAGCACTTTAAGCACGTCGATGCCCCTTTACATCCTATCGTGACGAACACTGCGAATCTACTTTCCCTCAATAAGAAAATCACTGCGCGTGGCGAGTGGTATCGACGCCTCCCTTTTGGCGATCCTGCGCGGCTGAAGAATGTTCAAAAGACCATATACTCTCTTCTTCAAGAGCAGATTGACCGAGTGAAGGACTCCAATATTGCCGGTATGCCAATGAACGAGGCAGCCATCAACGCTTCTTGCGTGGTGGACTACCTCTCCAACACAGTCGATGAGTCTGGTGGGAAATTCCCCGAGGGTCTGATCCTCGCCAACATGTTGATCGTCACGGGTGCGGGCTTCACGACCACATCCGCGCTCATGTCCTGGCTAATCTACTGCCTGGTCAACTACGAGGGCACGCAAGACCGACTGTACGAGGAGCTATGCGAGGCCGGTATAGCCAACACGAACGAATCATTGACATGGACGCCTGAGCTAGCGCATGGCCTCTCATACCTTGATTGCTTCGTCAAAGAGACCCAGCGTTTACACAACGCCTCTTTCCAGCCTGGTCGTACGACAAAAACCGATGTTGTCTTACCTGGTGGGTACCGTCTTCCTGCAGACAGCGTGATTGTCCCCGCGCTGTACGCAATCCACACGAACCCGGAAGTATGGCGCGATCCATTCCACTTCGATCCTGACCGGTGGACGAGTGATGAAATCAAGAACAAGCACCGGTGTGCGTACATTCCCTTTACGACTGGACCACGCGGCTGTATTGGGTTCAACTTTGCTTTGTTGGAGATCAAGATCTTGTTGTCCGAGCTGGTGTCTAGGTATGAGTTCTTCAAGGAGGGATTAGATGCGGTCGAGTATGATCCTGAGTTTCAGTTGATTCGGCCGTTGAACTTTTATGTCAGGGCTAAGAAGAGGGCTGGAGTTGCATAGAAAGGGCAAGAAAGTACATTGGCATTAGAACATGACGTTTGTTGATACAATCCAGTCTTTGATCCAAAAGTCAATAACTGGCTCCAGGAGTCTGCACAAAGTTTCAAATCAAAATTCACTGGAGGTTTGTTAAATTTGAATGTTCTGAGTCTGCCAACTCAATGTCGAGCTCTGATACAAGTTTGAAGGACACAGACCTCGTGAGCGCAGGTCCTAGTAGAAACTTCGAGGATAGACGTCGCTTTCTTAGAGCCAAGTAGAGCATTAGCGTGGTCTATGTATATATTAAGCTCATGCCGCAAGTCTACAAAATTCAAAGGAGCATTTTCGTAACAAAAATGGATCAGAATTAGACGATCATGCATTTAGGATAGAACCCGTACTGTTTTATCCTGGTATACATCAATTAAAGGAAGCTCTGCTCAAAATCATCGATTCGCCTTTCTATGGAAAATTGTATACGCGCTTAAGAAAGCTTTTGGGTTTCATCCCAATTTAAACAATATATCTGACAATTCCAGTTTAGATGGCTTGATTACATCAAGCCCAACCTTCTCTAAAGCGAACAGGCTAGGTAGGCGCTCGTAAAATGTCTTTCCAGATAGGATTGTCAGCTTGAAATGTGTCGAGTTGAAGTAAGTACGAGACATCTTTCGTGTCTTGTCCAGAGAGCCAAGAGTGCTCAGAGCATTCGTACGGAATTGAGTGATGATGGTAGCCGCCCACGGTTCCTATAAAGAGCGTGATTAGAGATGTGAGATGACCCAGCACGAACAACAGAAACACCGAGTGTAGTACGGAGTCCCCAACTCCGTAGCGTCGTGAAAGTGGCGGTGCCCTCATCGTAAACGCAAATCCCCTTCAGTCTGGTATTTATTAGAGCCTGGCTGCTAGAATGTGAAGAAGAGTTGTGAGTATATTTGGCCTTTATTAACCGGGTACAGGAGGAGCAGCTGGGTACCGCTCTATCACCCCTCCTTTTACCAGTATTGCATGCGTTGCATGCGTGCGTGGGAGAGCGAGGTCTGTGTGCAGTGATGTGTTCCATGCTTTGTGAGGTTTGATTGCTAGGGCTGTTGTGACCTGGATCAATTCTCTGTTTGGACCTGATCTACATATCATGATGTGTTGCCTGTTGAGCGGTCTTCAAGTTAAATCCACCCCGAGGGGCCAACTGGAGTTGGATCAGAGCAGGGTGAGCGAGGACTTTAAGTTGTGTCTCCTGTACCGCACAGTGGATATTTGCTCCTTGCGACCGGAGCACGCTGAACTGTTAATAGCGTCTCCGGGGATATGGCACTCCAGTTGATTTTATCGATCATTGGAAGTGGAAAATCTGTTTCTTGATTGCAAAGCCATGAAAAATCGGATGATACCAATTTTATTACCTAAAAACTGTCACTAGTAATCCATCGTAGAGAATATACTATCCGCGTGAAAGATACCAAACAAGCTCTGCCACATGAACCGACCAGAAATTGACCAGGGGATTCGATTCAGGGCTTTTAAATCAGGAGATTCTATAAGCACTTCCCCTTAATCACATTTGTTTGATATCTTCTGCCTATTATCTTTACTACCTCTTTTTTGCTCTTAATGTATTCTCATCCCTAACTCGCCTTTATAGCAACAGTGTGTCTTTCTGCTCACCCACCGCTTCCATAAGCGGAAGCGGTGGGTGGGTGGGCAGAAAAACACGGATATTCCACACGATTCATTGGTGAATCGGCCCACATCGGATGACATAATCAGTTTCGGCATCCCCCGGCAAGCCACCAATTCCCCAAGTTATGGCCGAGTTCTGTACGAGAACAATTTATACCCGCTTCATCGATTCCAATCCCTTCGATCGTGATAAGAATAATTTGCAAGATTGCTGCTACTAAAATGGAGAAACATGGTTCCACATCCGCCTATCCAACCACTTCCACCAATCCCTATCCATACGATACAGCCCATGTGAGCGAGTTACTCAAGCGCAAGCGTCGCATGCGCGGCATCAGATCGTGTTTTCCTTGTCGACATCGCAAGGTTCGGTGTGATGGGAGCTTGCCATGTGTGAGCTGTGTGAAAAGGAGTCATCCTGAGCTTTGTCGTTTACCGGGACGAGCCAATGATGTTGGTGATGCGGTTAGTCCACAAGAGGAGAGGTTGAGGTATGTGTTAAATGTTGATCCGGGTGTCGTATGAGACAAGATGACTTCAAATTGATTGAAAATATTGCGCGATGGATACTGACATATGTCCAGCGAGGAGAATGGGTCTGGACATAACCTAGAGCATGGCAATGCGGCTTCTCAATACAATCAATCCAACGCCCTATCAATCGACCTCATGATAGCCCGGCTCTCCAAAATCGAAGACCAGATCTCTTCGCTCAAGGCGGATCTACTTAACTCACGCACTGATTCACCGTCTTCCGCAACCTCAAACCAGTATTTGAATGCTTCTTTTAATCCCAACCCTAATCTCCCATCCAGCTCTAACAGATCACCTGCAATGGGCAAATTCTCTGGCAAACACTTCGTGGAAGATGCCACAGGCGCAACTATCTTCCTTGGGAGTCACTCTGATATCCCTGCGGCACTGGGCTGTAGAAAGCCCTCTCGGGATGTGTCTATCACTGATACACTGGTGTTGGATCAACTTGTACCTCGAACTTATCCGTTTACTTCGCTTTGGGGACCGGAGGCCGGGACGGGGGAAATTTGTATGACATTGCCGGATGATTCGGATATGATTCGGTCAGTTTAGGCACACCTGGCTGGGTTTTTCAACTTCTATCGTATACCCTGGTTTGACCGTGGTGTGCAGGTACTGGCAAGTGTATCGGTCCTGCGCATACCCATTTTATCCAGGACTTGTGACGCTATCGCAATTCGAATCCGCACTGTTCGCATTTTTAGACCAGCGAGCCAATGCTTCTCGTGCCAATGAGTCATCTAGTTTGGATGATGTCGATCCGTCGTGGTTGGCTTTATTGTTCGCTGTATTGGCGGGTGGAGTTCAATTCTCGGATGATCCGATTAAAGAGCGTGATCTTCGATCCAAGGTTTTCAGTACGTATAGCACTATTATCAAGAGCCTGAATTATATTAGAGGATGATCACAGCTAATTTCTATAGTCTGCTCATCGTTTCAGTGTCTACGCATCTCAAATTTCTTCAACAACACCAACATGAACCAGATCCAGGCCATGGTGCTGATTGGGCATTGTTTGAGAAATAAACTAGACACAAATAGTGCATGGATTCTCATGGGTTAATATCTCCAGTCTCCCAATTTGATACATGGCTAATCCTAAATCCAGGCGCGACTATTCGTCTTGCACAGAGCATCGGATTACATGAAGAGGATGTATCATGCGAATCCCCAAGCTCTTCGCTAGATCACTACCACCGCAGAAGGCTCTGGTATATATACCCATGAATTCTACCCCGTCGCTATTCTCATAATGGTACTAATATGGTTACCCAGGTGGATGCTCCTGTGGCAAGACACATTCCTCTCATTCACCTACGACCGCCCGCCCACCGCATTAAACCACAGCAGCTCCATCCCCCACAATCCAGAAAATACATCAGGCTACTCATTCGCGGAATGTATCTTCGCCCTCTGCCAAGTCCTCCTCGACCGTGCCCGACAACACGCCACAGACAACCACACCAGAACAACACTAACTTACAAACACCGCATTAAAATGATATGGAACGACGCAGCACCCTTCCTACTCGATAAATCCGCTTGCCGCACACTACAAGATCATCTCGAGCGCTTAGCACTTCGCATTCACATAAACTACGGGCTCTGCCGTTTATCTCGTCTAATCCTTGAATCCGCATCTATACACTCAAACACCATTACCACCACTACCACCAGCTCCCCGGCCACGAGCATCGACATCCTCACTCTAACAACAGAAACAATTCACTATGCCGCCGAAGCAGTACAAAGTTTCCTAGATATGCACCGCCTCTCATCAAACGTATGTCGGTCATGGGCCTTCGTACACAACGCAGTGAGTTGTGCGTCTACGTTACGCAGCCTCGGTGCCACGGGGACTGGGGGTGAATATTCGGCTCTTATGAGAGGGTTGATCCGTGTTTTGGAGCGGGAGGAGCGGATGTCGGAGTGGGAAGACGCGGATAGGAATATAAGGTGTTTTGGGCCTTATTCGAGGGCGTTGAGGGCGTTGAGTGATTCTACTGATGGGGGGAGTTTTGAAGGTGGTGTTGAGGGTTAGATGCTGGATATGAGGGATGGGTTGAGGGGAGGGGTGATAGTGTATTTGTTTCCTCGGGGGAGGATGTTTGTTCCAAAAGTACCTCACTATGTAGCAAACAAAGAACGAACCATGGAGACCCACTGAGGCTCCATCCCACGGTCAGATTGGCTCGCTCGCTCTAGGAGCTCGACCGATTCGCTGGCATCCCGTCTACGATCCCCTGCCTTTCATTCTACTATAGAATCGAGAGGAACCAAAAAGCCTTACTCTCAGTTGCACAGTAGATTTCTTAAAGCGGTAAGAGCAACAAAGCGTCACTAAGGTCAAAGGATTTTCTGCTTTGATTCAAGTGGGTTGTGGAAAACTCTCATCTCGGAATCTAGGTAATTCCGATGCCCGTATCCGTTGCGATATTGTTGGACCGGCTCCAAGTTCTAATTGCAGGAAGCCAGACGACTTTCGCGTACTGATTTCTCAGCCACAGTCAAAATAAATTAACGCGTGTATTGGAATGGAGCACAGAGGATCCTCGAATCAGGCAAGGCGATGAGAAAAGCGCTAGAGAGACAGAAGTGCTTTGCTCTTGTCAAAATTAGAAGCTTAACTGACTGCACATTACAGGACTGCCGCTCCTACCGTATGTGATCCGACGGCAGGAGGCATGTTAGGACTGACCTTCAATAAATAATGAATACCGCACTCGTAACACTCCAAGCACACATCAAAATTGTAACAACATAAGCGAAGATAGTAAAGTAATTCAGATGACAAACTGCAAATGAACTGATCATACAATTGAGAAAAAGGACCGAGAGGAAATAAAACGCACGCCGTGGCGAGGTCCTTTTTGTGGATATTGATATTCTTTTTCTGAGCCAATTAAGAAACGAGATCAACGATCGAAACGGATCCGTATTTTGATGCTTACCAGAGCAAACTTCGACCTAATCCGTCCTCAAAGACGATTCTACCTTCCGTCAAGGAAAGCAAAATTTCAATGGCTTCCAAATGCCCATTGTGAATTGCCACACACAGTCACATATTTAAGTCTAGAGCACTTCCCAGCAGATGATGTCACCCGTACGGCCAGCAGTGAACACTGGTGACACGCGAGGACATTCGGGATCCTTCAGGATAGTTCGCCATCTTTTCTCGTTGCATAAAAGATACATGCCACAAATCGGGCTCAGATGACGCCTTTTGGAAACAGTTTTCCTGGTCCCAAAAATGTCAGGGCGCTGTATAACGCGAATCTTCTTGTGGGTGGCAAAAGAATACTGCGTCTGCACCGTGCTGGGTTTGAATAGTCTCCGTGTGACACTTTTCTTAAGCTCGATCAGCTCATATGAAAATATCACATTGTTCATATGAAGCACAATTTCCGGTAGCTTCATCTTACGCGTCTTCTCAGGATTGGTAAAAGTGGTTTCGGGTAGAATGACTTTGTGCTTTGCTTTGTTGTAGCGATATCCTTCTCTGAGGGACTCAAATAGAAGATGCCGGAAATATTGTAAATCACTATGCCAATCGTTGATTGACAAAAGAACATGATGACACCGAGGTCCATTGTGATCAGGGTTTCCAATCATGTCCAAAGTTGGACCAATAAGGCAAGGGCAAGCCTCTACTTCCAACGCCTTATCAATCCATTTATCGCTCCTGAATATCGCCCTCCATAAAATATTTTCTTGTTTCTCACTGTAAAGGAGAGCATCAGCCATATTCTTGGTAGAATTGGGGAGCAGTGCATCCGCGATGAGATCGAAAACTTCTCGTGGGATTTTTCCGAGATTTGGCATGTTAGAAGGGATATTATATCTCAAAGGAAGTAATATTGATCCTAAAGAACATGACTCGTTCATCCTTAGATTCGATAGATTCAGCAGACAAATGGTTAAAGTAATATTGGTCCTAAAGAACATGAATCGTTCATCCTTAAATTCGATAGATTCAGCGGACAAACGATTAAAGTTATAGTTTTATTGGTGACCTCACGCAGTCAAGAGGAGCAAGAAGAGTGTAGTTTGGCCATAACGGGTCACCTGTCGCTGCGGTCGTAGACCGTAGCGTCAGATAGGGCCCGTCCGCGCTCCCCTGAAGGGAGGCAATTTGTCTGTATTGTATTGGATTCTATATACAGAGGGAAGGCGGGAGGGACAAAATCAAGACTTGACTGCGTTAGAGATGACGAGCTACCTGCAGAGGCAAGCAACTGACTCTCGTGAGGCAGTTGTGGGAGGAAGAGGCCCTCCATAATGTCGGTGTAGATATCACGTGAGGCTACATTGTGAGGCAACCCCAATAAAACAAATCACTTTATTGGTGACCTCACGCAGTCAAGAGGAGCAAGAAGAGTGTAGTTTGGCCATAACGGGTCACCTGTCGCTGCGGTCGTAGACCGTAGCGTCAGATAGGGCCCAAATGACCCGGGCCAAACTAGGATGGTGGAGGGGACGGTGGTGGAATCTGCAGAGACAGCGGAGCCGGCGAGCCTATCTGGAACTGGCGATTAAGCTTGTACAGGACTGACGCGTTCGTCGTAAAATACACCCTGAACGCCTCCGAAGTCCACCTCCCTAGCATCTGGATCTGGTCGTCGAGTATCCCACTATCGTGCGCATGCTGAGCCGCGCCCTTCCGAAAGCTGTGACCCGAGTAGCCGTCTGTCTGTATCCCGAGCGCTCTTAGCTTAGTAGACAAGGTTGAGAGGAAGTTGCTACGACTGAATGGTCTTCTGTGGAAGGAGAACAATGGGGCGTCGGGCCCTCTAGGGTCGAGGAGTAGCAGCTTCTGAAGCGCATCAACTGGGCATGCCCCGTCCCCCGTCTTTGCAAGAATAATTTGCACTCCTTCGTGGCGGCGGTCAGTCTTACTGCGCTTGAGTGTGAGTTGTGCGTGATCTAACGAGGACGAGAATCTGACGTCGGAGCGCGTTAACTTTGTGGCTGAGAAGATAGAACGTGTGCTGAGGTCTTCAGTCTTGTAGGTGAATTCTCCGAGGCGGAGAAACCCCGCAAATGCTACCCGGCACGCGGTTGCGAAGTTCAGGTCGTCTAGAAGGTTTGCAGGCATTTCTAAGGGCCGTAACGGGAGTGTGGCGAGGCCCGCGGATAGTTTCGTGATAGTGTCACGCGAAATCGGTTTTCTGGCCCGCACTTTTGTGGTAGGGTTAAGTCTTCTCGCGCCGTCTATGAGACGCCGAAAATGCTTGTTGTTGAAGAGTTTATCGTCAAGGAAGTTATCGATATGATAGGCTCGGAGAGCGGCTAGGTCGGCAAGTGCGGTGTCAGGCTTGACGGCCTTTTGGCTGGCGTTACCAAGGAGTCGTGCGCTTAACCATGAAGTCAAAGAATGTCTTGAAACTGGCCATGCGGGTATATTCTGTAGCGCGCAGTGCTTTTCGTAATTGCGCTGAACGGAGAGGTAAACGGAACGAGTATTGGCGCTGAGTCCGTTCCAGAGTAGTTTTAGGTGGCCTGTATTGAGCTGAGGAGCTCGTGAAGAGAACCACGCGGGCGGTTCAATACCGAGAGGTCCTGCCAATGGGGACAAATGTTAGCAATGTCTTCAAGATTGTTACGTGAGAGCGCATCTGCTAGTTTATTTTCCCCGGAAGGTAGCCAGTGTGGCACGATATGGATGTCTCTCGCCGCCGCTAGGATAAGTAGGCTCTTCAGAGGTGCGTTAGGCGGACCATGAAGGAAGCCTTTCTTCAGTCCCGTGTGGGCCGTGGAGCTATCCGTGTGGATAACGAGAGTGTGATGGAGCCAATGGTGGCTGAAGAGTAGGAAGCCCTGTAGAATAGCGTCTACTTCGTTGGTATTGATATGCGCATGTGCGTCTTGAGCAAGGGCCAATGTGGCAGCATTGCTTGGATGAAGCTGGTGACAATGGGCCAGCCAGCAGTCTAATGTAGACTTGGAAGAAAAGTAGAAGAGCCCCTGGCCTGTATTTGAGGCATCTGTGTAGAGATGCGTGATGGAGCGGCGGCAGGGGTCAATTAGGAGTACGCCATTGAAGAGAGACAAGGAGTTTCTCCACCATTCCAAATCGTCACGTACCTCGTAAGGGATACGGCGGCGCCCGCTACTCCCATGTGGGAAAGCGGCTTGGAAGGTGTATAGAGACTGTAGCCTTGTTCTTCCTAGCCGAACAACTCGTGAACAGAAGGCCAATAAGCCTGTGAGGCGCTCTGTTTGCTTAAGGGTGAGACTCGCTACGTTTAGGGCGGCTGCGGCGTCCAATGTGGCGCGGCACAACTTTTCTGGCGGCAGGCGAGCTTCCATTGCAATAGAGTCTATCTGGATACCAAGGACTGTGACGCATGTCCCTTGCTGGTCCTTTTTTGTATTGCGGGGGATACTGAGGTAGTCGGTGACCCTGTTGTAAATCTTATCGAAGGGACCCGTAGGGTCGGACGGCGAAGGAGACCGAGCAATTGTGATGAAGTCGTCTAGGTAATGATTGATATAGAATGCAGGTAGGAGGCATTGGAGTATCCAATGGAGTGCCTCGGCGAAGAGGTTGAAGAGAAACGGGGCCGTTGCGAGGCCAAAGGGGAGATAGCATTCGACGTAAGTGGAATTGTTCCACTGGAAGGCAAGCAGATGCTGGTTATCCTCGGCAATGGGGACAATTCGGAAGGCGTCCTTGATATCCCTCTTGATGATTATGCAACCTGGGCCAGCTTGTATGACTTGCTCGTAGACGTCGTCGATTGTCATGTATTCGATAGCTGACCAGGAGTCCGGTATGCCCTGGTTAAGGCCTTGTCCAGGGGGCCAAGAGAGATCATGGATACGGCGCCATCCCCCGTCGTGCTTAGAGACTAACCTAAGCGGTGAAACGAAGGAGGGCCCAGAGGCTGGTCTAACACGACCGAGGTTGAGGTCCTCTGTTAGTTTAGCTGTGATCAGACCAGGTTCGTGTATGTGATGGTTAGAGGAATAGCGAAACTGCGTATTGCCCCTATAGCCGACCTGGGCACCGAAGGTCAGAATGCCAGCGATAGTGGACCCGAGATCGCCTGGATAGTGACGTAAAAGATTGCTCCAGCCTTTCGTATACAGTGGTGACGGAGAGGACTGTAATCTTCGGAGCTCTGGGTTGAAAACGGGGTATTGAACAGCAGTGTTTGGCCTAGGTGGTTGCCCCTGCGGTATGAGGCTTAGGGATACGGGATTGAAAACAACGCTGTCGGTGTGACTAGTGCAATTCTCGAGGGCTATCACCTACTACTTCTTCTTGCGGCAGGAGGAGGCGCCATGCTCGTCTAGGCCGCATGCCGTGCACTCGTGACGTCTCTTGCAGCCTTCCCAAGAGCACCCTGTCGTATTGAACTTATCGCAAATCTCTGTCTCATTATTCGAAGATCTGGTATTCCTGGCTTGACGAGGCCGTGTTGGGGGGTTTGTTGGTGACTTCGCAGGTAGAGTGAGATTGTGGCGGAGGTATTTCTCGCGGAATAGGCCTGTGACTAGGTAGTTATCCGTCGATAGCTCTCCTTTATCCAGTATGTATTGATGGAAATTAAGGGCAAGTGGAAGAACTGCTTCCGACCACTGATAAGTCTGAGCGAAGTCCAGGATCTGCCTCATAAACATGAGTAAGTTGGGGACTGCCTTAGGATGTTTCTCGCCGAAGAGATATCCCACAACCGCCAGATAGGCAAGAAAGCAGGACGTCCATGTTTGAGGGTTAGGACCCCAGTCCTTAAGCGACGCTGCTGCCTTTTTGAAGCCTACTGTGCCTCCCGACTCGGTCATTTTGAAGACTCTGTCCTCCTGATCTAGCTCGGTGACTGACTTCTCTTTGAAGCGTATGAGTTCAGTCGCCTTCAACTTCCTCTCGAAGACGCGAGTAAGAAGGGCGGCAGAGACACCCGGGAATATGTCGATGAGTGGCTTAACCTCGGGGGGTGGCTCACGGTTTTCTTCGATAGTATCGTCATCTTGCAGGTCCGCACGAGGCCTTCTGCGGCGGAGATCGGTCTCTGCTACATCTAATTCAAGGCGCCTAGCCCTGTCTCTCTGTATCTGTCCTAGCCAACTGGCACTGTCTGCCGCACCCATGGTTTCCCAAATGTGGGCCGGTGGCCAAGCGGAGTCGAGCGGGGCAGGAGTGACACTACTGGACTGGCTCAATGTCATAGTGGAGAGGAATATAGTCAAGGCTTATCGGTGCTGTTGCCGCAGGGAAGGACGTGAGATACAAAATCAAGACTTGACTGCGTTAGAGATGACGAGCTACCCGCAGAGGCAAGCAACTGACTCTCGTGAGGCAGTTGTGGGAGGAAGAGGCCCTCCATAATGTCGGTGTAGATATCACGTGAGGCTACATTGTGAGGCAACCCCAATAAAACCACTCCCTATAGAACCGAGGTTCTTCTTTATAAGAATCCACACATCAGTGGGCGAAACAGAATGGGTCTTGTCGGATGCTATGGCGTGTAGAAACAGCATATCCGTTCAAATGCTGCCCCTGGTAGTCGAAATTTCGGTGACTACAGTGATCCGTTATAGTGGTTGCATGGATTCGTTTTGGTGGTTGCAGGGATTTGTTTTGGTGCTCTCGGCGACCCGTGTAATTGTAGATGGATTCCCATTGGTCTGATGTGCTGGCCGCACAAGTGAAGCTTTGTCCGTGCTTTAGACCATGACAGCAAATTAGTTCATTGTCTCTCCATGGTACACACACACACACACAATTCATTAACGCCCGGCGGCTAGGCCGAAAGGGCAACTGAAACTGATCTATCAATACATATCCCAATATATATATGCCGTGTCTCCTTCGAGCCCATACATGGATGCTTGCAACATATGTCCTCTCTCAGCTGTCAATATCATACGGATCCTGGTGGGTTAGTGATTTGGTTAGTAGACTGGCTTGAAGGCGCTTCTTCAAGTGTTCAACATCCTATCTTCGGCAGTTGAAGCGCGTCCACCATTTGTGGCACAAGGTGGTAGGTGCAGGTTGATGAGGGGGAGGGTGTCGTTGTATTGGTCGACGTGGTTAAGTGGCGTCAAGTCGGCCCGTGGTGATTGCGAATCGTATTGAGGCTCGCACAGCTTCCAAGTTCGGTGTCCATTGCTGATTATCGGAGGGTGATTTTCCGCCCAGGAAGAAGGAGAGATTGCCCCGGTGAGTTTGGCTGCATTGCAGCAGTGCTATTCGTTGTGTGGTCCACTTCCGACATCGAAAGAGGAAGTGTTCCACGGTCTCTCTTGCTTGTCCACATGCACACTGATCGGTATCTGCAGCGTTGATCCGATAGAGATAGCCATTGAGTCTGGCCATGCCAGTCCGGAGTTGGGCCAGCACGCTCGCTTCCTTCCACGATAATCGATCATACAGCTGTCGAGTATGCTTTCCTGGCAATGCTGCATCTACTCGTTTCACGTGTCTTCCTACATTCTCTGGCAGGTCATTGCTCGTAGCTGCTTGGGACCGAGCGAGATTCAGCGTTGTCGACTTCATCCTGGGGACCGACTCTTGCGGGACGGCATCTTTCTAGGTCGCATTCCTGGCCTGCTCCTTGGCTAGTCCTAGCAATTTATTGTCTTTGCTGGTGGGGACCCACAAGATGTTGATGTGGTTTCCGTTTCTCTGCAGTCTTTTCATCAACCTGTACGTTTGGCGGATGAAATCCTGCCCCGACTGTTGTCGGGGATTCGCTATCGTACGGGCGGCCGCTCTGTTGCTCGTGAGCAGCATGATCCTGTAGTCTTTCAGTCCCACAAGCATGTTCAACACGTGTGCCATTGCTGCTAGCTCCGCGGAAAATGGATTTTGCTCTGATCTTGCGCCTAGTGTCACGGAAAAGGTCTTCAGTTTCAGCTTCCGATATCGAGGTGGCTGCTTCTTAATCGCCACTCCAAACCCTACGAGGCCGTTCCGTGCTGAGCTGCTGACTGCAATCTGTATTGACCCGCCAGATGCAGTGTGTGGGTCCGGCATTGCTTCAACATCGGTCTGCACGCGAGTCTCCCACGGTGCTAATGTGAACGGGTTGATGGTTTCCAGTGTCTCCATCTCAATATTATTCAGTGCGTCCGTTACCTGGTACAGCGGCGAACGGTGGTATCTCCTGAATTTCTTCATGCAGGCTGTGCTCTTCCGTAGTGGGTGGGTTTCGGGAAGGGTGTGAATGTCCGTCCACATTTTCACGGCCCGTCTCCAAAAACGGTGTTGTGCAGCGGCAATGTGAGCCTCTGCCTCCGCAACACTGGTCGCAACTGTGAGAAACGTCCCTACAATTGCTTGCGCTCCCACCCTTTGGACTCGGTTGATCGGCCCGCTGGCCTTGTCCTTGCAAGCGTGCATCCAGACGGTAGAAGCGTAGTCTACCACCGGGGCCACCGTTGATGTAAACAGCTGCCGTGCGGTTGCTGGCGTTAGGCCGCGAAGTCGCCGAAGCTCCATCGCTGCCTCCAAGCCTTTGGACGCTGCCCTCGCGATATGTTCCTTGTACTTGAGTCTCGTGTCCATGAGAACCCCCAAGATCTTGACATGGTCTCTCGGCACAACGGTCTGTCCCTTGATAGTGAAAGGCTCCTGGTCGGTTTTGTGAGCCTTGGGAGCGAAGTGTATGATGGCTGTTTTTTCTGCCTCAAAAGTTGCTCCGCTCCGTTTCTCCCAGTCGAGTGCGTCATTGATAATTGTTTCAATACCTTCCCGATTACTCTGTGCCGTTGGTCCGGTCACCCACGCCGTGAAATCATCCACGAACGCGATTGCTCCGCCCTGGCTGTCGATCTGTCGTTGTACGAGGTCTGCGTTGAAGAAGAGGAATAGGATCGGAGACAGCGGCGAACCCTGCGGCAGCCCAGCCTGTGGCAGGCTTTGTACCTCAGACAATTGCCCATTGATCTGGATGGTCGCCGTTCGTTCCGAGCAGAACGCCTCAACCCACTGGAGCAGGTCCTCCGGTATGCCTCGCGCTTTCATCCTTTGAAGCAATCGTTCTTTGCACACTCCATTGTAGGCTCCTTTCACATCGAAGCTGATCAAGCTCACTACCCGTCGGCCGCGCCACGCCGTGTAGATTTGCTCTTGCAGAAACACAAGTGCTTGTTCCGCAGACCGCTGTTTTCGGGCTCCGAAGTGGCTGGTCGGGAGCAGGCCGTACGTCTCCACCGCGTGTGAGATTCTTTCTGCAACCACTGACTCCAATACCTTGCCCAGCGTCGCGAGGAGCGAAATTGGTCTCCATGCTTTGGCAATGTTGTAGTTCTCTTTATTCGGCTTTTTGAGCGGTATGATCTTCGCGTGTCTCCACTGCCTTGGCAACGTGCCTCCTTCCAGCGAGGCTTGGAACAGATTGAGAACCCTGTCCTTGACCGTGGACCACGTCATCTTCCAGACTATCACCGGCAGGCCGTCTTCGCCAGGCGCTTTCCAAGACTTCGCCGCGAGCAGTTGCCGCTCTACCTCTTCCATCGTGATCGCTGGCATTTCTACCGGTGCTCTTTCTGGTCTCGTCCCTTCATCGTCAATAATCTCCGGCAGAGGCGGAAAGAATGTGGTCAGTAATTCTTCTGCTTGCTCCTTGTGATCGATGGTGGTCGTTCCGTTTGCTCTCAGGAGCTGCGGGACCTTCCCAAACGCTGCGTCGTCTCCCGACTTTAGGTATTTGGCGGCTTTCCATATGTTATCGTTGTCTGCCAGGAATTCATTCCAGTGCTTTTTCTTTTGTTGCCGGATGGCATCGTGATATTGCTTGGCTGCGCCTTGGGCCATCTCTTCTAGACGGGGGACCTTTCGTCCCGCCCGTCGCTCCGAGCGGGCGTGATTTCTCCAATATGTGTATATTTGACGGAGCTGTGTCAAGTCATCTGTCCACCATCGCTTTGCGTGTGGTGACGGTTTAGCCTTCGGTGTCAATGCATGCACCGCTTCCCAGACCGCGGACACTAGTCGATCGGTTTTCTGCTGCACGGTGCCCTCCAACGGACTAGCGGCTAGGGAGTTCGCAATCCTAATATTGATTTCTTTCCATGGGGCGTTTTTCAGCAGGAGTCGTTCCTGATGCGTTGGGGGCTTCCATGGGACATCGAATGCGGTCTCAATGGTGCAGTGATCCGACCCATGCTCTGTCCCAAGTATAGCACACTTAACCATGGAGTCTGCTAGGTTTTCCGAGGCCAGGACGAGGTCGATCGTGGATTCGCAATCCCCACTCTGTCCTGCGCCATGCCATGTCTTTGTTCCTCGTTTGAGTAGACTGCTGAGTGCAAATTCATTCATGAAGTCGATGATTGGGTCCGCTTCGCCCTGCCTTACCAAAGACACGTCGTCTCCTCCCCAGAGTTGATCATGACGGTTAAAATCTCCCACAATTATGATCTCCAACGCTGTGCCTGTGTGCCGCCGTACCTCTGTGATCGCTTTGCGTAGGTGATCGCATGTTTCGAGCAATGCCGCGGCATCTCCTCCCTCTACGTAGACTGATGCCATAAATATCAGGCGCTCGGGAAGGCGGATGACCGCCGCAGTCAGGTCCGGCGACTCGATCGACACTTGCTCCGCTTCCACATCCCGATTGATCCACAGCATACTCCGGATTGCCCATCGGCCTTCCCTCCAGGTAGAGGGAACCAGTTTCGTCCATTTGTGATGTCCCATCGGGGTTGTCAAAAGCCGGCCTTGGATTCTCCTCGCTTGGGGTTCTTGAATCGCTAACGCCACTGCCCCCTGGGTTTCTTCGTCGTTCATCAAGCTGTCATGTACCGCTCCCTGTTTCCTCACATTCAATTGGATTATTCGGAGGGTTTTATTCATGACGTGGCGGATAGAGTTTCCGGCAGTTTTTGCTGTACGATTCATGTGGGCCTCCGCATGGGACGCACTTTAGGACCGTTTGGTCGCAGTTACTATGGCGATGGCCCTCCATGGCGCATTTTGCACACCTCTGGACGTTCTTACACTGGAACGCCTTGTGGCCAATCTCCTGGCAGTTATAGCATTGCATCGGTCGTGGTCGATATTCAAAGGTGCTGGTCACACCAGACTCTCCTCCAGCGTGAAAGAACCCCTCGGCCAGGAGTCTCCGTGCGTCAGTACCTTTAGTAAGGTAAACGACCATTGATCCATAGGCCTTCGCATTCTCCTTGCCACTGAGCCATGCGATTTTAGCCACGGTAGCTTCGTTCTCCTCGCTGAAGGCTGCCGCAGCTCCGGCTCGGATCTCATCATTTTCATCTAGCACTGCGGCTTTGTTGACGCTATCGACTTTGATCGGGTAGAGCTCGTCCCGAAGGACCCTGGCTCCCGCACCGATCTTTGCCTCCGCCACTTTCTTGACTAACTGGTGTTCGGCTTCGTCGCGACACGCTATTCTGATCCGGTTCGTGTTCTTCGGGTCCACAGTGACGGCGCGACAACGCCAGTGTATGTGGTCTTCCATCTTCCGGATCTCTGTCTCAACCGTCGCCCGGATAGGGCCTGCGGACATCCTCTCGTTTCCATTTTCTGCCATCCTCGAGGTGTCTATTGTGCAATACAATGTGTCGGTGAACGTGGTCGGTGTTGTATTTGACGTCGAGAGCGTCCGTATGTTACTCGGGTGACTAAGTGGAGGAGTGCGGGCGACATCTGCATAGGACGGGGAGCCAGTAGGAACGGAAGGGCTGATGGCATCGCGCAGGGATTGAATCTCGCGGAGGATCTCATCATGGTTGTTCTGAGCGCATGTCTCGGTGTGGGATTGCAGTGTCAGGGGCCTATCCGTCAGGGTCTGTAGCTCATGTCGAACTTCGGCAAGGGCGGCGCTGAATTCATCTTTGACCTTTTGGAGCTCTTCCTTGTGCAATTCATCGCGTCGCCTGATCTCTCGCCGGAGTTTAATGAGCTCTTTCACGAGTGTAGCGGTGTTGAGGTCCTCGCTCTCCGTAGCGGAGTCGTCCGAAATGACCGCGTCACGTTGAGTTGCTGGCTTGTCTTGCGTTTTCTTCCTCAGCTGAGAGCGTGTCGTTCTCTGGTCGTTGTCGATCTCTTGCTCTCGAGCATAGTTATTTGGTGGCCTTGTGGTGCGTTTCGGCCTCGCCAATCGTGGAGGTGAATCTTCGTGTTCGTCGCGGTCGGGCGGCTCAGGGGTTCGCGTCTCGGCCCGTCCCGCCATTTTTGTCTCCTCGCGTCGCTCACGATACGATCGTTCAATTCAACAACGGGTACGAAGATCCCCGCTACCGTCCGATCGTATACAGCCCAGCTTTCTCTCCATGGTACAGTCATTCTCGGAATTGGCTTCACCAATACACTCTTACACTCTCTTTCTCGGCCCCACCCCTTCTTTCTAGTTCCTCTTACATCTTTCCCAACCCGTTGTCTATAGAATTCACTAAAATAAAATAAAAAATAAAATATCAAAAATCGAAAATCAAAAATCAAATATTTTATCGAAAAATCGTTATCTAGTCTAACACACCATTTCTGCCTTTTCGTACTACATTATATAAATATCTGATCCTTCTCTACTTCTCTTTACTCAACACCATGTCCATTATGGATGCGTGGAACAACTCTGGTACCTTTGCTGATCTACTTGAGTTGAACAAGAAGTATCTCCTTGGTCAAATCTCATCGTCTCCTTATCATTACGGTCCTATAGAGGTGGAGACAAGCAGCCTTGTCCCTGCTTTGTTAGAGCTACATGAACGACAAATTTTTACATGGAATAGTCAACCATATTTACGTGAACGCAAAAGAAGAGATGGAGGCAAAATTTACGACGCCTGGCAACGACCTTACCTCTCCTTTATTGTAGCGGATGAAAACAATCCGCAGAGACTCTTTCAAGCACTGAAGAGAGAGAGAGAGATATCAAAGTTCACGCACGGAGAGTTCACTCGCCAGAAGCTGCTTTAGAAGGATCATTCACTAAGAACAAGATTGTCAGCAAGGGCAGAACTGTTACCAAATATTGACGTTCGTTGTTTCTGCGGCGATGGAAAGATTTTACTTCTGTTGATCCTGCGTCAGATGTAGCAGAGGAGGACTTGTTCTGTCTGGCAGCTATGAAGCAAGCAAAACCATGGGTATTCGATGTTGTGGCGACGTCGTGGAAGAATGTTGATATTGCAAGGATCGTCATAGACGCAGTTGATGCTGCACAGACACGAGTGGCCACTTAACCGGCCAAGGTTGTGGAGTGCCAAGTGTACGTCCATCACATAGACCTTTCCTTTGTCAGCTAGATTGTCATTTTCATATATATTTGACATGTATCTTTGGATATCGACCTCGAGATCAATTCGATCTAGAGTACTCGGGTACACCATAAGGGGACAACTCAACATTGCCCCTTTTGTTGTGAGGATTCCTTCTTCTATCAACCAATTCATATTGATTCCACGTCCTTAGGCCATACCTTCAGCATACAGTATGTCATTGATTCGATCTGAAATATCAATGACGCCTACAGCGAGATCCAGCTTAGGGGTAAATCTAACGCCAGAGGCCCGTATAAGTAAGTGGACTCTTCGTCCTAGACCATTCGGGAAGCGGCTTCGCTTCGCGCTTAGCCGTGTACATAATATGACAGGAAGGAAGAGCGCAGGCAACTCTTCCCTTGGAAGATAAGCGGGCATGGTCGTCGCTATGGTATCTAGCACATTCTATGCTAGCATTCCAAGTAAGCCAGGCGCCACGAGATTGCGTCAATTATGCAGTCATCTTAGGCTTACCGTACTATAAAAGTCGCAATTTACAGCGGCCCTCAACAACACTTGGTAGGTTGGTTGGTTGATGTCATTTACGCTGACCCCTCGCTCGAAAGCGATATGCAGCATACTACCACTATATATATATATCCGCGTAACTACATGTAAAGTGTTCCACTTCCTGAATAAGCGAACTTAGAGCCTTGTCACGGCCTGCTGTGGCCTAATTGCCGTTCCCATTGTTAGGCTGCCCTCGTGGCGCGCGACTCCAAAACCGGTGTGACGCCTCGGCGAAGTCCAAAACGGCCTTGACCGTCTTCACCCTTGAGACGGTGTCTGGTTTACCTTTCTTACCTTCGGTTGAGCCTCCCAGCAGGCTCGAGACACTCCTGAACGCGTCCCCCACTTCCCACCGTAACTCCATTCGAATATCCCTTAAAGATGGACTGTCCACTAGTACATGAGTAACAGTTTCTTGTGCACCACACACGCAGTGGTCGTCGTCACGGAAGCTAAAACTCTTGGCGTAGGTAGATAACCAGTTGTGGCCTGTACGTAGCTGCGTTAACAGGTACGCCCGGTTCCTAGGCAGGCTCCCATATAGCTTCCTCGTGTAGGTTGCTGGTAGGGTGCCGTCGATCTTCCGTAGGTGACTGCCTTTGCTGGACGATCTCCACTCCTGCTCCCATTGACTGAGGATATTGACGTGCAGGTGTGCATTCTCCCTCGGGAGTAGAGGGCGGAATGAGTGGGATTTGCCTGGGTACGCGGCGTCTTTGGCTAGTCGATCCGCAGCGTCGTTACCAGGCTTATTGCAGTGCCCTGGCACCCATCGGAGACGGAGCGCGATTCTCTCAGCTTGGACCTCTGTGGCAGCTTGTAGGATCGCGTGCACGATCCGCTGGCCCGATTTGTTCCCTGGGTTCTGAGTTGCCTGCAGGGCTGATCTACTGTCGGACAGGATCGTTGCTGTTTTTTCTCTACTGTTTTCGCTGCCCGCTGATAGGCGATCTTGAACACCGTGCTGATAGCGTAGAAGATGCCGATGAGTTCCGCTACGTGAACCGACCACCGGCCCATTGGTCCCACCTGGACCTGTTGTGATTCGACAACCTGCAGGTTGTCGTCGAGTGCTACTACGGCCGCTCCTAGATGACCCTCGCGTGCAGAGGCATCTGAGTAGACCACAATGTCCGACATAGATCGCGCGGTTTCGGCTCGTTCATCGGCCGTCTCTCGATCCGATCCAACCCCAACCTCCGAAAAGGGTTCGGCTTGCCACGGTGCCAGCGTTGCTTGGGTCAATCGTTTCTAGTTCATCCAATCTCTGTAAGTCCATGGTCTTTAGGGCTTCCGCTAGTGGGAACCGGGCGTAGTTTCCGATATTGTTCCTCCGTCTCTGGGCTCGGAGGAGCGCGCTCCAAATGGGATGCTTGCGAGGTAGAGTGTGGAGTCTCGCGATAGTGTGTTGTGCCCGGCGGCGGAGGCGGAGGCGGAGGTGTGTCGGGAGGACTTGCGCTTCTACTTCTATGAGCCTTCATGTGCAATCGATAACAGTTTAGCATTGATTGGACTATTTTTCTAAAGCCCAAGATCTACAGCAGTTAACAGTGGTCGCGCAACGGAGGGTGAGTCTCACCTAGTCTCACCCGCTCTCACCCCGCGTCTTACCCTGTCTCTTGCGCACTCACCCTCTCTCACCCTAGTCGCGCGACCGTAAAGCGGCGATCATCCGTTTCCCCACCAAGCTTAACTATCTTATTTGCTAGGATTGGCAAATGGTGCGTGGCTTATCTGCGGCAGATAGTCGGGTGGCTGCCGCCCGGGTGAGAAGTGGGTGAGCGCCGCTTTACGGTCGCGCGACCAGGGTGAGAAAGGGTGAGTGCGCAATAGACATGGTGAGAAGCCGGGTGAGAGCGGGTGATTCTCACCCTCGGTTATTTTATTGTCACAATATCAGTGTCTGTCCAGGGATGAGAAGGGTGATAGCGAGTGATTCTCCCCCTTCAAGGCGCTCGATCGCCGCACCGACCCCCGCAGCTGAACAAGGATATAATATCATTCGATCGTGTCAATCGCACAGGCCTCTGAATTGAATCACAGTACTTTATGATTGGGCTTCCTTGAATCCAATGAAACGCCCGGCCTCTTGGCATCTGCACACAGCCACCTAAGGATTGGGTAGAGAATCAATATGAGCTATTCGGGGCGCAAGTTTGAGTTGTCTACTGCGAATTTATTATAGGATTAACATCGAGGGCGACAAGTTGCATTCAACATAAGCCGGCTACCCAAAATATCACTCAGAATTCTGTTCATTAAATTTGCCATGATTCACCGCTCCATCAGGGGGGGGTAGTTGGTGGATATAGAGTCTCTGTTGTGCTCACATGTTCTGAAATTATTAACCTTCTAGAAGAGCTGACCTCAGAGGTACTTGGAAGCTCTTGCTTGCATTGCACCGAAAAAGAATGCAGAAGAGACTGTATGTCCGTGTCATCGGTACTATGAGGTTGAGTCTGTAATGATTGAAGTGCAAGGGTAGTTTCTGATGCCCGAGAATCTCTCAGTAGTTCCCGGAGAGTTTGAGAAGTATAGATACCAGCGCCCATCAGGGCACCTTTCCCAGCCTCATTATTTGATACGTTCAACATGAAGTGTGGTTGTGTAGTATCGGTGCCAAATATTGCGCGGCTATCAGGGCCAGCTCGGTTGTCCTCGACGACAATTTTAGGATGGTTGGTGTCTATCACTTTATGAGCCTGTGAGAGGCTCTCGATGCTACTCTTCAATCGAGCATAATCAGCCCGAAGGTTCTCCTGGGACAGTGCGTCTGAATCGTTGACGGTCCGTAGTACACGATCCAATTGCTCTTCCAAGTCTTCTCTGGTACCGCGAATTAAGCCTTCAAGCTCATTCAATGAATTCAGGGTCCTGGTATGGTTCCGTCTAATGAGGTCAGCATTTGGAAGCACATTATTTGCTGCATGCATACCCATTTATTAACTCGAAGCAAATATTGAGTGTTGACTTATAGCTGGACAGTCGGTGCTTCATCTCTTCGAAACTCCTTTCATGGAATCGTAGGCTGAGCCAATCCCGAACACTGTCCGATTCACCATTTGAATGAATTGTACATGCGTCAAGCATTTCACGAATTTCTCGACACGTTATTGAACAATTTTCCAGTGGCTGGCGTAGCGGCTCGAATCTCTCAGCTTCTTTTGAGCGTTCGACATCCTCCCGAATCGTCGCAACTATGGAAAGTAAAGAGGAAAGCTCAGTTTTGAGATCTCTGATTCCTTTTTTTTGGCTTCTAAAGCTGGACAAAACTTCATATAGTGATTTGCCTGTGTCGAAGGTGAAGATAGTCAGCGTCAAAATAGCGGACGCTAAACCAACTGCCGCCTCGGCCATCTTATGAAACCAAAGAGGGACAGAGGAGAATAGTATGAATAGTGTAATAAGGCAACCGATTCACTACAAATGATCAGGAGGGAGTGGTCAAATATTTCTCGAGGATGAGGGTAGCACACCCCGCACCTGCTGGATGGAAGGATCACGTGGCGCGGAGACAATGTACATTGTCACATTGTCATTGGCCATATTTTTATCAGAGGAAGCCACAGCGCTTAGGCACCTCGTCATCTTTTTCATCTTCGAAAGCTGTAGATCTCAGACTTCCTGTCCCTTACTCTTGCAATAAGCCATCGAAATATCGATAGAAACCTCGACCGAACTTGATACGCAGACGAGCATTTATTGCCAACAATGACAACCCAGGTTGACATTAGAGGCAATATCGCTCAGGCCGAGGCCATCCAAGTCAATTCCGTCAATCTCACCACAGGTGAGTTCGCACTCTATATGTTACTCATGTGACCTTCTGAACTCAAATACCCACAGTTCATACTCTTGCAGAAGTTGATCAGCTATGCCTTCGCACTCTACGATGCGCCAATGCACTGGTTGTCAAAAATAAGCTGAAAGAGAACAAGGACAAGCTACTCTATGATTTGATTGCATGGGTCTTTCAAGACCGACAGTATTTAAGCTGGCAAGATGGAGAAAAAATCTCTCTACTCTGGATCAAGGGTGGTGCTGGACGAGGGAAAACCATGATATCGATCGGCCTGGTCGATCGGCTTCTACGCCGACAAAATGATTCAACTATGGTCGCTTATTTCTTCTGTCAAAATGCGAACTATGAGCTCAATACTCTCGAGTCAGTAATCAAAGGCTTGATTCAGCAGTTGGTCTTCAAGCAACAGGGACTTCAAATAGCTCTGCGACGCCGCTGGGACTGTTTGAAAAATCGCTTCGAAGAGGACACTACTTCGTGGCGAGTGCTTTGGGACATTCTGTTGGAGATGTTAGAGGGCTGTACGTGTCAAAGAGTATATATTATCGTGGATGCTCTTGATGAGTGTCGTGATGATGACAAAACGGATTTCCTAAAGCTCATTGTCCGAACGGGCCTTCACAACCCCGCGAAGATTAAATGGCTATTGACAAGTCGACCATTACACAGCGCTGACAGAGAACTTTTAACTGGGAATGACCAAGCACAAGTCAGCTTAGAACTCAACTTGCAACATATTTCGGAAGCAGTGAAGACTTATGTCGCTTTCAAAGTGGCTGAACTCGATCGTCGCCACAATTACGGCAAAGAACTGCGACGAAAGCTAGAGGCAGTACTGAATGAAAAAGCGGAATCTACTTATTTGTGGGTCAGTTTGGTGTGTAAAAATCTTGAGGGTGTACACCGAGATGATGCTCTCTCTACAATCCAAGAAATGCCACCGGGCTTGCCTTCGTTGTATCACAGGTCATGCACTCAACTTCGCAACAGAGAATCAGTCGACGCGAAGAATTGTATCCGACTACTGAAAGTGATGATGCTGGCTTATCGGCCTCTACACTCGAGCGAAGTGGGAAGTGTCACCGGTATAACCGACAGTGTCTTGCGGATTGATGCACTAGTTGACAAATGTGCATCTTTAATCAACATGCGAGGAACCATCATCGACTTTGTCCATCAATCTGCTCGAGATTACCTGTCAAGCGGTGACGGAAAAGCTTTACTAGACTCGCATGAGGACTACGGAAACGGCCATGTTGCTTTGAGCTGCTTGTTCTTTCTATCTGCAGAGCTCCGTTTCAATATTTGTGAGCTCCCGAGGCTTGATTCGACTGGGAAATTGACGGAAGAGATGAAAGATCCAAAGGAATGTGCTTTATTGGCCAGTATGGAATACGCAGCCACATTCTGGGCACAACACCTTGAGGGTGATTCGAACACTTTGCTGGTGCAGAATGCGCTTACTGAGCGCGGCGAGGTCAGTCGATTTCTACAGGCCAAATTCCTGGAGTGGTTGGAATGTCTCAGCCTGTTAGACAAGCAGGAGATGGCTATAGAAGTGCTCAAAACGATGTCAAGGGTAGCAGAGGTCAGTGTCATAATCATGGTTTTTCGGAGTGATGGCCTAACAGACCTCTTGCACGTAGTCAGCGCCTTTCGTATCAACCTTTGTACAGGATGCCACACACTTTTTAGTAAGACACTACCATACAATTGCAAATTGGCCACTGCAGATATACAGCTCTGCGACCGTTTTTAGTCCTGAGAGGAGCATTGTGAAGAGGGAAAATTTGGATAAGCTTCCGAAGTGGCTGAAACAGATTCCTCGGATGGACAATGACTGGTCATCTGTGATACATAGCATGGGAGGCCACTCGGATAAGGTTAAAGCTGTGGCATTTTCACCAAGCGGTAAACGCATTGCTTCAGGGTCGCATGATGAAACAATCAAGATATGGGACGCCAGAACCGGAGATCTTGAGAAAACATTAGCAGGCCACTCAGATTGGGTTTATGCGGTGGCTTTTTCACCAGATGGCAAGCATATTGTGTCAGGGTCAGACGACAACACTATAAAATTCTGGGAAATCGCGACCGGAAAGCTTCTAAAGACCTTAACGGGCCACTCAGATTGTGTCAGTACCGTGGTGTTTTCACCAGATGGCAAACATATCGCGTCAGGGTCGCATGACGGCACCATAAAGCTATGGGATACCAAGACCAGAAACCTCTCAAAGACCCTAGCTGGCCACTCAGGTAGAGTTAATTCCGTGGCATTTTCACTAGATTGCAAGCATATCGCGTCAGGGTCTGCAGATAACACTATCAAACTCTGGGATACCGTGAGTGGAGCACTCAAGAAAACATTGGCATGCCACTCAGATTGGGTTAATGCTGTGGCATTTTCACCAGATGGTAAGCATATCGCGTCAGGGTCAGGCGATAACACTATCAAAATCTGGGATATTGCGACCGGAAATCTTTGGAAGATCATTGATAGCCACTCAGATTGTGTTAATACCGTGGCCTTTTCACCAGATGGCAAGCATATTGTGTCAGGGTCAGACGACAACACAGTTAGGCTGTGGGATGCTGCGACTACATCACTTCAGAAGACACTAGTAGGCCACTCAGATTGGGTTAATGCGGTGGCTTTTTCACCAGATGGCAATCATCTTGTGTCAGGGTCAAACGACAACACTATTAAACTCTGGGATACCATGATTAGGGGCCTTCATAAGACGCAAGTAGGCCATTCGGATTACGTTACAACCCTATCCCTTTCGCCCGATGCGAGATATGTGGCGTCGGGTTCGCACGATAGCTCTGTCAAACTGTGGGATGCCAGAAGCGGTGCTCTTCAGAAAACCTTTGCAGGTCACTTAGATGCTTTAAATGCCGTGGATTTTTCACCAGATGGCATGCATATTGCGTCAGCGTCAAACGACAGCACCATTAGATTATGGGAATCTGTGACCGGAGCACTTGAGAAAACATTAGCAGGCCACTCAGATTGGGTTAATGCGGTGGCTTTTTCACCAGATGGCAAGCATATTGTGTCAGGGTCAGACGACAACACTATAAAATTCTGGGAAGTCGCGACCGGAAAGCTTCTAAAGACCTTAACGGGCCACTCAGATTGTGTCAGTACCGTGGTGTTTTCACCAGATGGCAAACAGATCGCTTCAGGGTCTGCAGATAACACTATCAAAATCTGGGATATTGCGACCGGAAATCTTTGGAAGACCATTGATAGCCACTCAGATTGTGTTAATACCGTGGCCTTTTCACCAGATGGCAAGCATATCGCTTCAGGGTCTGGCGATGACACAGTTAGGCTGTGGGACGCTGCGACTACATCACTTCAGAAGACACTGGTAGGCCACTCAAGCTGGGTTAATGCTATTGCCTTTTCTCCAGACGGTAATCATATTGCATCTGCATCGAAGGATAAGACTGTTAAAATATGGGATGCAGTAAAGGGGGCTATTGAGAAGACACTAGCTGGCCACTCAGATGATGTTACCTCTGTTTCTTTTTCACCAAACAACAAACACATTACGTCAGGCTCATACGACAGAACGATTAAGCTATGGGACACACAGACCGGAGCTCTTAGGAAGACCCTCTTAGGTCACTCACATTATGTTACGTCTGTTACCGTTTCACCAGACAGCAAATACATCATGTCGGGGTCCACCGATAGGACTGTCAAGCTATGGGACGCTGTAACTGGAACTCTTCAGAAGGCAATAGGAGGTCATTCAGCGCATGTCAATATCGTGGCCTTTTCACCTGACAATAAATGGATTGCATCAGGGTCGCATGATGAAACAATCAAGATATGGGACGCCAGAACCGGAGCTCTTGAGAAAACATTAGCAGGCCACTCAGATTGGGTTTATGCGGTGGCTTTTTCACCAGATGGCAAGCATATTGTGTCAGGGTCAGACGACAACACTATAAAATTCTGGGAAATCGCGACCGGAAAGCTTCTAAAGACCTTAACGGGCCACTCAGATTGTGTCAGTACCGTGGTGTTTTCACCAGATGGCAAACATATCGCGTCAGGGTCGCATGACGGCACCATAAAGCTATGGGATACCAAGACCAGAAATATTCGGAAGACACTAGCCGGCCACTCGGATTGTATTAATGTTGTGGCTTTCTCGCCGGACAATAGATACATTGTGTCTGGATCTGCTGATATGAGTATTCGGCTGTGGGACATTGCTGAATGTCTTGGAGATTCAACATTCTTTGGCAAGATGTTCGGTCACCTTCTCAAGTTTCGTTCATCGAAGGAGGTCAAGACGCTGGACCAAATCATCAACTTGAGATACTCAGATGATTCAGGATATCTTACGACAAATATTGGCCCTGTCCGGATTGATCATTTATTATCAGCCAGCAAGAACATTGACTTACAGTCGGTAGAAGACCTATGGGTCAGAGATCAGTGGATATATTATGGATCATCCCCGATACTTCGAGTGCCATTTCCCTTCGAACCACGCTGTTATGACACGCATGATAATAGGCTAGCCATTGGATTCCAGAATGGTCAAATTTTGTGCTTCGAAATTGATCGTGCGCGCTTACGACTGGCCTTCGATTAGTGTTCAAAGTTTGGTCTCATTTGCTCGTGGATATCTTTGAGCTCGTTTTAAAGGCTATATAATTTGCCCTGCTTGCGGCGACGAACACACAGTTTGGGATAGGGTATACCAACAAGTGAACAGGCATCGGGTTCCTCCTTCCCTCGCCGTCAAGTGAAGAGCTAGATTGGTAATTATCTAGGAACTTAGCGAAAACTAGATTTGAACTCTCTGTGCTGCATCTTAATTCTTGCTTCTTTCGCATTGGCCTAAACCCATTATTCCATAGGAAAAATTTTGCTCCAGGCCCCGATGTATCGCGGTTGAAAGAGGATGAGTCTCACCTGCTCTCACCCCGCATTTCACCCTATTGATTGCGCACTCACCCTACTCACCCATGGTCGCGCGACCATAAAGCGGCGATCACCCATTTCCCCACCAAGCTAAGCTACCTTATTTGCTAGGATTGGCAGATGGTGCGTGGCTTATCTGCGGCAGATAGTCGGGTGGCTGCCGCCCGGATGAGTCTAGGGTGAGCGCCGCTTTACGGTCGCGCGACCAGGGTGAGAGAGGGTGAGTGCGCAATAGACAGGGTGAGAAGCTGGGTGAGATCGGGTGAGAGCGGGTAAGAGAGGGTGGGATCTCACCCTCGGTCGCGCGGCAGCCGCACTGATCCCCCTCACCTGAGCTCAGATGCAGCGTTATTGGTTCACTCGAACGGGCTGAAACCACGATCTCTTGGCACCTGCACATACCATCACATTTCCAACCCAGGATTGGCCAAATCAACGGCGAGGCTGACTGTAATGTCGACTTGGGCAAAAGGATGCTTGCTTTCCAGACACCAACATCACCACTTCCAACAAGCGTTTTTGTCAAATGTTGCAACATAATTAGCCCCCTATAGGCAGCAATTTGGATGGGTTGACAACACGGCTAATCTAGGCAGAGGGTAGCTCTGAGGAAGGAAACTTATTCTTTCTAGCGGCTACAGTTAAGACAGACTCATGTTAACTATTGACTTGCCATACCCCTTCCAAAGATCGATCTACGTAACACACTGGTTGCTTGAACCATATGATGCCAGCATCCGCAACTCTTTTCCGGGGCGGCTATTGCTGTCCTCTGGTTGGTGAGCACAGACATGTGAGGCGTGGACACAAAAAGCTTCCTTATGCCCTTTCACGCCTTCGGCTCTACTCGCTTTCTGTTCTCATGTGTTGTCCACGAGAACTTGACGCAGCACATCCGCTGAATCTTCATTTTAAAATCTTCATTAACCTGTGCCGTTTGTAGCTGAAATGAGACCGAAAAGCCGCAACGATTTTGCGATCGCCGTGATCTGCGCCCTCCCTCTCGAGGCGGAAGCGGTCGAAGCCCACTTTGACGAACGCTATGATCGGCTGGGAAAACACTATGGCAAGCAACGAGGCGACGCAAATGCGTACATAAATGGAAGGATTGGAAAGCTTAACGTGGTCCTGTGCTACATGCCAGGAATGGGCAAGGGAAGTGCAGCAAGTGTTGCGTCCAGCCTACAAGTTAGCTACCCAGATGTCCGGCTTGCTTTGGTTGTCGGTATTTGCGGAGGCGCCCCATCACCATCAAAGTACCAAGAGATATTCCTTGGCGATGTGATTATTAGTGATTCAGTGACTGAATATGACTTCGGCAGACAGTACCTTGGCGGTCTTCAGCGAAGGACTGGCGTTAAAGACACGCTAGGCAGGCTAACCCAAGAGATTAGGGCTCTTCTAAATGGCTTACGCGTCGAGAATACCCGCAGTGAGCTTCAGAATCAGGCGCGACAATATCTTCATATTCTTCAGGAGAGGAGAGCGAAATGGTGTCACCCAGGGATAAGTGACATCCTGTTTAGCGCATCTTATCTCCATCGGCATTCGTATCCTGCTTCTTCTGCCGGGTGTTCCTGTTTCGGAAGCGACTCGCCTGATCCTATTTGTAGAGAGGCATTAGAAAAGGACTGCGACGACCTCGAATGTGACAAAAGCCAACAAATCCGACGTCGAGAAGTCTTAGAAGCCGTCCTAAATATATATATCGGACAGGTTGCTTCTGCCGATACAGTCATGAAGTCTGGACAGCATCGTGATGAAATTGTTAGGAAAGAGAACGTTATTGGGTTTGAGATGGAGGGAGCAGGGGTATGGGACAATGTTCCATGCGTCATCATTAAGGGAGCGTGTGACTATGCCGACAGTCACAAGAGTAAGTTATGGCAAGCATACGCAGCAGCGACCGGAGCCTCGGCGGCAAAGGCTTTCTTGGAGTACTGGATGCCTGCGACCCACGAAGGATAGTAATTTGCCGTAAGAATTTCACGCTGTCAGATATCTGATAATACTTGATAGATCCACACGGAAATCTGGCAAATACCCTGTTCTCGGAACGAGGTATGACATTTCTCGCTTGCCAATACATTATTAGCTGACCATATTCTAGAAATCGAATTCAGTGACCAGCACAAAGCATGTCTTGCGAAACTGTTTATCACGGACCCAGATGAGGACCTGAACAAATTGAAGAGGAGAAAGGGGATTCGCACCTCGGGGACATTCAGCTGGTTCTTAGAATCGGACATACTTAAATCTTGGGCTCAACAAGTTGAATTCATGAGCAACCCAGAGCAAAATGTCTTGTGGCTATACGGTAGCCCTAGGATCGGCAAGTCTACAATAGCTATGACTATTGCAGAAGAACTCCCGAAGAAGGACTACTTCTCTAATAGACTTGGTATTCTCTCTTTCTTTTTCTGCGAATCCAGCTCTGAACATCAGAGGACGGCGACATCCATCCTGCGAGGTCTTCTGTACCAGATTATCAAGCAATGCCCGCCTTTCATCGAACAAATTATGTCAAAATATGACGTTCAGGGAGAGCGATTATTCACATCATTTGACGCGCTATGGACGGTACTGATGGATATAGGCCGGGTGTCTAAGGGTGCGGAGATATACTGCCTCGTCGACGCTATCGACGAATGTGAAATCGAATCACAAGGTGTATTTCTTCAGCAAATCTACCAGTCCTTCATGAAAACAACGGATACCAGTCTGATCACATCTAGGGTGCATTTCTTGATTGTCAGCCGTCCATACCCCGAGATTGGGGATTACCTATCCAAGTTTCAATGCGTGGACTTGGCCTCATACAAGGAGACAACCAATGACCTTCAAACCGTGATCCAAGACAGAGTACAGGACCTTGCGAGGCGGAAGAAGTACTCTAAGTCTCTTGCACTGAGAGTGTCAAGATTACTGGAAGAAAAGGCTGACGGGACGTTTTTATGGGTCGGTATTGCCTGTGAGGAGTTGAAACGGGTGCCGTCAAAAGATGCTGTTCAGATACTGGAAGCTCGCCCACGTGGATTGTATCCCTTATACCAGTCCCTGCTCAATGCAGCCGTCCTAGCCAGCAATCTAAACGATTATTCACATGTGAAGAGGATATTAGTAGTGGTGACATTTGCGTTGCGACCGCTAGCAATAGCGGAAATAGCTGAAGCATGCCAGTTGTTCTTGGACGAGGATGTCAGTAGCCGTCTTCAGTTCACTCGGGAGGTTATCGACTTGTGTCGTTTATTAGTTGTTGTCGATAACGGCTACGTCAGATTGTTGCATACGTCTGTCCCGGACTTTTTAATGACCGAGATGCATGAAATCCAACCTGCTGAATCCAATTACGTGATAGCATACCGATGCATGGAAGTGATCTTCCAAAATTGCCGGCAAAACATGGATAGGTCAACATTGGAACCCACTCACGGCTTCCTCGGCTATTCGGTTCTGCATTGGCCACAGCATGCCAGCCTAGCCCAAACAGAATTTGTTGATCAAAGCGAGCATGAAAAATTCTTCCAGGACGTGCTAGGAACCTGGAGAACTTGGCTGGATAATTATAACCATCTGAAAAAAAGGCTCTTGGGGCGCTCTAGAGACGGGTATATGTGCCATTCATGTCGCAGCCCGCTAGGGTATAATTCCCTTGATGTAAACCCTTCTTCCAGAGAAATTGGAAGACAAAGATGCACGCGGGCAGTCCCCATTGCTTATTGCCGCCGAAAATACTCAACTCGAAGTCATGAGATTGTTGATTGAGTCCGGCGCGTGCGTGGATTCTCTAACACCGAGCATCAAAACGTTCTTCACATTGCTTGCAAGAATGGTCACTTTGACGATCATTCAATGATCAAGCTCCTCTTTAGCAAAGGAGCGTCCCCATATGTCTGTGATAAAGATAACATGACACCCTTCCTTTACGCCGTGGGTGACCGAAATAAAGATTGCTCAAGCATTTCTCCAAAGTGAATTCGACCTAGCAGCCGGGGTTAGACGGCGATCATGGCCCGGACGGAGCTTTACGAGCGGCTTTGCGTACAGCCTGTCTAAGCATCAGGAAAAAGGATCTCCAATAGGTGGAGAATCTGGACTAACAGCGCTTCATTTTTCTGCCCTAAACGCCTGCACCGATATGTCCGTCTTTCTACTTCAACATGGGGCCGATTCAAATGCTCGGTCTGATATCGGAGATACTGCCCTACATGTCGGTATAAGACGCCAGCTCCTCGGCCGCAGATACGATGATGCATGGGAGACAGGCCAGTATGCTATTGAATCATTAAGTGATTTGATTACAGACCATACAGGCTCGGAAGCCTCTGATATCTATCGAGCCATAGACAATGCGTGGATAAAGATCGTCGAAGCGCTCCTTGACAACGAATCTCTCAATGTCAATGTGGCTAATAACCAAGGAGATTACCCTCAGCATGTGATCGACTTCCATAAACACTACGCGTTGTCTATTCTAGACAAACTTGTAGGGAAAGGAGCACTTATGTCTCGATCAAATGGAGCTCGTCAAACATGTTTTCACCTCGCTAGCAAGGCTGGGAATTTTGAGGTTTTTCGCAAATTTGTGAATGAGGGTCATGATATCATATTGCAGGACGCTAATAGACTGAGCCCGTTTCACTATGCAGTTTCAGAGGGGCATTTGGATATCCTGCATTCTATGTCAACAACTTGCAGCCAAGTGCTGTCCAGGGTTGGAATACACTTGATCATTTCAGTAAAAATCCGCTACATCATCATGTCTCGTCTATGTTTTGCTCAGCTGAAGTTGTTCGTTTCCTTGTACAGTCTGGCTGCGACGTTAATCAATCTGATACGGAGAGAAACTCGCCTTTAGGTCTTTATTTCGACTCATTTCATTTTTCAGGTCGAACAGACATATTTTGGGTACTAGCTCTGGAGGGTGCCGACCTGCTTTGGATCAATAAGAAGGGCCAGAATTTGGCGCATCTTCTCATGCATCACAGGGTATCGCATGAGGTGATTCTTGACATTTTGTTTGACATTGGCTTGGATCCAGCAGCCACAGATCTTGACGGTAGAACTTTGATGCATCATGGAGCAATTCACGACGTGTTCACCGAGGAGCTTTTAGAGTTCCTTGAGTGTAGAGGAGCCCTAGACCTAAACACACAGGACTCGGCCGGCAATACTCCACTCAACTACGCGGAAGAAGAGGCTAACCGAGAGTTTCCTGAAGATATACTGTCAAGGAATCATCGACGACGAGAAGAGTCATACGAGTGTCTGAAGACGAAAAGGGGCATGTCCATCTCGAAAACAGATCTTGTAGCCGAGTGCAGTGAGCAGGCGGTTAAATGTAAATGTATTCGCTCTGATCTACGTGTTTTTGGTACTCCTGGAATGCCCCAAATCGTGTGGGACGCTGGCCAGGCCTCACTCTTATGTGATTGAAAACATGATTATGACAATCCTGCCATTTGTGCATCCAAGTCCAATAGTACCATATCTGGCTGTTGAAGAGCTAGGTTGATAATCCGGAGGGAGCCATAGCTCTCGTCGACCCTGAATAGTAACCCACCGACCCGCAAGAGATACCTCTGCCACTTTTTCAGAAACATTTAATAGGAGGCTTTCATAGCAGACTTGAATACTGAAAGATCCCATGTTGGTAATCAGTTGCGGCAGGTGCTCGGAAAATTCAATGTTAGTGATAGTACCGTCAACGCTTATAGTATGCCTGAGAGCGCCAGTGGCGGTTTCCCAGAGCTTGATAGTCTTATCTTCAGAGCCTGAGGCCAGAAGCTGTCCATCTGGTGAGAAGGCGACCGACCAAACTAAGTCAGAATGGCCCTCCAGCGTGTGCTTAAGGGCGCCAGTAGCGGGATCCCATAGCTTGACGATTTTATCATCAGAGCCAGATGCCAGGAGCCGGCCATCTCGTGAAAAGGCGACCGATGGAACCGAATCAGAATGGCCCTCCAGTGTTTGCAATTCTTGACTCCAATACTCTTCCACCCTTGGGGCTCTGTATAACCAATCAGGAAGCTCTCTCTCGAATTTCATCCTGATCAGCGCTTTTTGTGGTGCGAAAATCAGGCCGGAGCTGTACAGCTGCAGCGGTGCCTCGTCAGCAATGCTCAAGAACTTTAAGATAAATCTACGAGCGTCGGAGAGAAACAAAGACACAGCATTATAGTATGTATCCTATATTTAAGAATACATTAGTCAATCAGCTGCGTACATATCAGTAAAAGACTAACCTTTGTCAACGCAAGTAATGTATCCATAGCATTCAAGCATTCAGATATTATCCCTGAAATTGCCATGACCTCCAGCCAATGAAGGAAGTGCTCTTCCAAAAACGTTAGTATCTGGTCAAGAATCCTAGCTGGTGCTAAGATTTGGGTCAGATGGTAAACCCAGTATCGACAAGCATATCGAAGGGCAGGCGGAAGATGTCTTACTATGGATTCAGGGTCGATCTCTGCTCGGCTAGTCCCATAACTAGGTAATCCGCAAATATTCTTCTTGAGATATCGACCCATGACAGTCAGGCATTGCCTGGCTATGAGCTCATGCTTCTCCCCTTTATCGACCCAGAAGCGGGATATTTCTGTATCTGTTTTAGTCTCCTCGTCCACTAGATAATCGTGAAAGGACGAATGAAAAGTCTGTATGGGTAAATGGGGATCGCGAGGTATGATCAAGACTGATTGAAAGGAGCGTAGTCGGATGCTGATATTCCGCTCCTGCAGCTCAAGCAGTTCTACAAGAGCACTTAGCGATAGCGGAGTAGCAAGAAGAATAATCACACCAATGATTTTCTGGTACTCTGCGATCAGCTTTTCCCTATCGGCCTTATCCGTGACCAGAAGCTGTTTCAAAACTGGCCGGTATGTGTCATCCAGCTTGGATCCTGGCGAGTCGGTAAGAAACTCCTGTAGTCGCTCTTTCGGGTCAAAGCTGCTATCCGCCACGAAACGACATAACGTGGCTGCAAAGATAAAGAGTGGAGCAGCCCTTGTTGCTAAATTTCAATTTGTGCTTCTCCGGGCCAGCCAGGAGGAAGATTATACTCGGGATTCTGTTGTATCTCAGAGATTTTGTTCGTGAGATACAGAGTAATGTCGTGTTTAATCACGTTATCATCGACTGTATGCAGGGGGATGCTCTGATAGAGCGTCTGGCCGATTTGTTCAAAGCTGAAGCGGATACGCTGCTCTGGCCGGCTTGTTAAAAAAAATCGGATTGCCGTACCTGTTGCTGTCACGACCTTGGCTAAGAGAGCAAGGACAGTCTTCAAGTCTTCCTTCGGCTCGCATTCGTCGAGAGCATCAATGACAACCACTGCAGAAGACACTGCTTGACCCTGATTCACGGCAAGCAGTGGCTGCAAGATAAGCCGTTTGAACTGCTCTTCAAGCGACTTTCCACCAATAGTTGGATCGTCATCAATGGCTTTCTGAACCCCAGAAATCATCTGAGGGATGTGAATTGCTAGTTGCTTTACAACTGTGGGGAAAAGTTTTGCAGCTGAGCTCCGATCTCCTCTACCTCTCTTGAAAAAAAAACTCGCCCCTAGGACGCCATGTTCCTTGAATGCTTGAGCCACCGTCCTCGCAATAGTGGACTTGCCAGTTCCTGCCATTCCGCTTAGCCAGAATATGCCTCTGTCACCCGACCTTCCCCAGTCCTGCACCTGCTGGAGTAGTTCTTCTCGCGTTCCACGAAGGCATTTGTCCTCATTTTGGTCCATAAAAGAGTCGAAAAGTGCACCCTCAACGAAAGGCAGGTTCAACATCGCAACTGCTTCGTGCATTTTTTGAATGTTCACCGCCAATTTGTCGATCTGAGACAGAATCTCCTCTGCCTCGGCTTTCCTGTGAAGGTGTTCGTCCAGGAGCAGCCACCGATGCAGAAGGGATTCCTCTTCCTCGATGGAGCGCTTCAGCTGTGCAAGTTGCGTGCTTGCTCCGTCTGTAATGCTCTCTACGATCTTTTCTCCCGTGCCCGACTCTTGAACTCTGCGCACTTTGGCGGAGTATTGTAGTATTGCCACATAAGCCCGGATGATTGATCGATCCTTTTGGGTATTTTGCCTCAATGGGCCCGAGTCACGAAAGAACTGATCCTCGATGAAAGCGCAACGGCTTAGCAGATCCGCCAGGTACCCCGAGGAGTCCAAGAGAGCATCCCGGAGGTCTGCATGGTTTTTGGCCATCTTGGTCATTAGCTAACCGTTCAGCTGCTTTTTGAGGTGACCATACCGTCAATCCGAGAGACACTATGGCCCAAGCACTCGAAGCATAACCGGTTGGATCGAATTTCACTGCGTTGTTAATAACATCCTGAAAGGACAACGCGGAATTCAATATTCTATGAGCTGTTGCCCGAATGCCATCCTTTCTCGGGTTCTCCTTGTATTGTGTCTCTGTCGCCTTGACTACCTGGTCCAGTATCTCTCTGGTTCGTGCTCGGCTAGCGTCCTGAGGCTCGGTGGTCATCGCTGGGAGAAGTGTTGCTAGAGTATTCTGGTCGCTCTCGCTTAGCGCGTCGTACGCCGTCTGCCAGTGATCCCTTGCATCGTGGTCGTCAGTTTTATAATTATCAGCTTCGGGATCCGCTGGGCCGCTTTTCGCGCCTGGAATGTTGGTGGGAAACTATGGAGTACTTGAATCTGGGGTAGCTGAAGGAGGATTTTTATCTTTGTTTCCTCCCGTGAAGACATCCTTCAGGCGTCCGAATACGTGATGCCTCTTTTTGTGGGCAGAACCGGTAGGAGAATCAGCCATCGTCAAACGAGAGAATCGCTTTGTGATGAGATCTGGTCCAGAAATCAGCTAGGAAATCGTAAATATGAGTTGGGCATTAAAGGAGGGGAAGTACCTTATTTAAGCCACGAGGGGGTGAGAACCGTGCAGTTGACCAGGGCTGTGGCTTCAGCCAGCCACGGCCTGCAAAGTAGGCCCGAGCTGATAAAGCTGTAAGTTCATTGTATCGTACGGAATAATAATATTCGGCTAATCTGTATACAGCCTAGTGCAACTTGGCAGTCCTTTTGAAACATTGGATAGTTGAGAGTTTTGGGGTGTTACGAAGGTAGCCTCAGCCCGCCAGGAAGCACTCACAGCTAATCGGTCACGGACCAATTGGGCGCAAGACCGCACGGATACTCCGGCAGAAACATCCCGCCTATCAGATCACGTGATTATAGCTACCTCAGCACGGTAGCCAGTAACTAAGCTAATGCAGTAGCAAGGCTACTGCCAGCTACCGGTAGCCCCCGGGAAGATATAAGGACGCTCGTTTACGCACATGTACTTAGTTTACTTTTAGTTCTTCGCGATCAATATTATCTTGTCATTGCAGAGTAAACCTTTGCTAGTACTCCACTCGTCAGAATTACTCTACAGCTATTACTAGACCTCGACAGGAGTCGCGATTCTCCAGGTCCGGTGCGGTTCCAGAACCGCCAAGACTCGGTTCCGGTTCTAGGTTATTGGAACCACGACTCTACTAAAGACCAGTTAGAACCGACCCTGGCGGTTCTGAAGGAACCTGCAGGTTCTTCACGTGATAGACTCATCCGTACCTAGCTAGCTGGCTATGGTTTATGATCCAACTTCGACGAGGGGTCAGCGTAACCGAATACAACTACTATTGCTGCTGCTGCTGCTGCTACTCTTCCTGTATACCCGAGAAAGCTATGAAACAGAGATGATACAGAAATAATCTGGCCTTTAATCTCACCCAACCCTCTTCTTTTACATTTTATTGAAGTACAGTTCCATCAGATATGCCTTCCGGCATTGCTCCCTATGGTTTGTGATCAAAATAGCGATCAGAGGCTAGGACGTAGTGCACAATAGGTGCAAAAGATTAAGCAAAGGGCGCGCGAAAATCAAGGAAGCAGAAAATTCCAAAATAAAGACTGTTTCAAAATTGGGAGCAAAAGTTGGTCAACACAAAGCGGATCCACCAATTAAACAAAGCCGTACTCAAAAGGTGTTCAATCCGGCAAACTCAAACCCAAGATTGCAAGTAGCAAGTTGAAGTGGTTAATTTATCCTCAATTAGTAGCGTAGCAACTATCCTTATTCTGTTCGCGCTCTCTTATCGGTAACATCAAGTTATGGCAAGGCAGAGACTAGACCGCTAATTTTGGAATATCTAAGGGTACGAGAGTCAAAGCCAGAGTGTTGTTTTGCCAGCATATTGCCAATATTAGAGAGCTCAGCTCACCTATCATCATCTAAGACGGTCTCTATTGCCAGATTCAGCAGATTTATGAACTTAATGTCCGCTCCGCCACGTTGTACTAGAGCATGAATTTAAGCATCATAATCCCGTCAGGATAGGGTACAACCTCCTTGTTGCAAATAAGATTCTCGATATAAATTAATCTATCACAGGCAGCAATAAATGGCTTAGGTGTCTTGTGTTCCTTAAACCCGTATACAATTTTTCAGGTTCATGAATACGAGCGGCCAGCCGTGTGAAATCACTGTCACTACAGGGGAGACGGAAACCATCAAAACGACCAAGGAGAGAAGGCTATAACAGTGGCATGCCCATAGAACGGGGAAACGGAGTAACTACAGAATCCCGAAGCTCAAACTCCGCAATAGACCATATCAAGCAGGGATCTAAGTCTAAGTATCCAGCATTACAGTCCTAGCCTATATATCGGTTTATTAGTAGCCACAAGCCCCATCTTCAACGCACATAATGGATTCAGTTATAGTCTAGGAGCAGGGGCAGGTTCATTGACGAGGAATTATCCCCACATAAAATCCATTCACATCTTTTAAACGTCTAGTACCGGAAGAGTCTCACACCTAAGACATTATACATTGTTTTAGAGAAAAGCTGAGGATGAAAGCCTTTGCATTTGCATTAGGATAGGGGGAAACCTATATGAAACAGGGAAAACCCATATCAAGGCTAGACAATCGCGCCGAGCATCCTGAATAATACCGCAAACGAGTTTGACAGTTCAGATGAATCATTTCCGTAACCTGCATATAAGTAGCACAGGGAGGCGCGGACCATTCATATCGAATTTCACTATCATTGATTAGTTAAGACCTCTGATCATCAGTTCTACTCATAGAATCATGAGTCTTTGTTACTGAGGTTCATCACTTACGTCCTACCGGTCGTCGGTCATCAATTCTGCTCATAGAGTCACTAGTCTTTGTCAAGAAGGTTCATCACTTACTTCCTATCGGTCGCCGTCCATTAGTTCTGCTCATAGAGTCACTAGTCTTTGTCACGGAGGTTCATCGCTTACTTCCTGTCGGTTGCCGTCCATTAGTTCTGCTCATAGAGTCACTAGTCTTTCTCACGGAGGTTCATCACTTACAACCTATCGAGGGCCGTCCATCAGTGCTGCATATAAAGTTATGAGTCTTTGTCAAGGAGGTTCATCACTTACGTCCTACCGGTCGTCGGTCATCAATTCTGCTCATAGAGTCACTAGTCTTTGTCAAGAAGGTTCATCACTTACTTCCTGTCGGTCGCCGTCCATTAGTTCTGCTCGTATAGAGTCCTGCTATGCTGCGCTCCGGAGCTCCCCAGGAGATTTCATGGCTGGTCTGGCAGTTGCAAAGCCTGCCAACTGATCAAGATGCTGTCGACTACCTTGTTCAGATATCGAATTGATATATTCAGATGGATTAGTACAATGGCGAGGAAGTCAAAGGCAATCTCTGTTGAATAGATGTCAATGCCACGACCATCAAGCCCAGCGTGGGTCTTGTTCATTGTTGTACTTCATATTCTGGGCTGATCCTGGGTAATTTTAATTTAGAAATTCGAGTTCAACGGCCCTATGTTGAAATTCATCCTAACGTTCGTACTGTAATCCAAAAATAATTAATGACTATTTTGAATTTTTATTCAAAATGTTTCTGGCCTATTTGAGTGTGCAACAGAAGCATCGCGGGCCAATAAATAGCTGATCAGATTAGGGCACCATTTGCTCGATAGATTTCAATTACCACAGGAATGAAATCGCAGTCACTAGCGGGGCAGCCGTGGCTATAGTCCTTGAATAAAAATCGCAACCATGGCATGAGATGTCCGTTTGGGATACACACCGGTAGAGAGGCACATTTGGTGTGTTTGGCGAACAAGCTGCTGGTAACAGCGACAGGGCACTACGTCGTTGGTGAGGGCTGGACCAGAGGTCGAGCAGTTGCTCCCGAGATGACTGGTGACCACATGCCCACTTGATTGTGGCGAAATATCGTCCCAGTGTCTCCGTAATTATCGTAATAATGCAAAACATGGCAGTTAGTCCGCTTGAGCCGAGCGTGCAAAATTCTTCCGTCTCCCCAGCTAGCCAGGATGCCTCTGGGTCATACCTTCAACAATCACTTTATGTGAACTGCATTCTCGGTCCCAGTAGGAGGAACCAAATCGAGTCGGGTAGTATTTTAGTTGTTGCAAATTAGTACTGTACACACACACACACACACACACAATTCATTAACGCCCGGCGGCTAAGCCGAAAGGGCAACTAAAACTGATCTACAATACATGTCCTAATATATATATGCCGTATCTCCTTCGAGCCCATGCATGCATCGCTTCACTCTGTGTCCTCTCAGCTGTCAATATCATAGGGATCCTTGTGGGTTGTTGACGCTACAGTATGTGTGTGTGTGAATTGCCCTGAAACGGAGGAACGGAGTGGAAGGGTTACTAACCCCCCGGGTGCGCGACGCCGACGTTGACGCAGCAAAAACACAGCGAGAAACACACATCCTCCTCTCCGCCAAGCCTCTCTCTCATTGGACCTTGGTTGGATCCCAGGTCACGTGCAGTGAAACGAGCACCGAGAGCAGAGGTTACTAACCTGCATCAGCCCCATAAAATATTGCTGCGTTCCCCAATTGATTACTACCTTTGTCATCTCAAGGGCGCTACGCTCCTGTGCTTGCGTCCATGTCTCTCTCCTTCACTGAGGGCGGTTCAAGGCCACCATACGTACAGGCCGCCATACGTACAGCCCCTATGTAAATTCCCTTACTATCCCTCTCGTTTCAAGCCATTAATCAGCATGTGAAGCGCGAGTCATCAGGCTCATTGGTCTGATACTTGACCCGTCACGTGTTGGTTTCTGATGCTGTTGTGTCCTCCGTACTTTGTACATGAGACTACCTTAAGCGAAGCGTGGGGGCCGAAATGGCGGGAGCTGGGGTGCAGTTCAGTTCAACTCACTCATGCCGACTACCATCTTAATCCTACGAAGCAACATCAGAGCACGGCAGAATGTCCACCAGAGAAACCGCAAAAAAAGCGGTGGAAGGAATTGCTGCGAAGCTTGGATACGTTGATTTGGCGATCTTGGATCGCATTGGGAACCTGCTTCCTGAGGAGCGACGCATAATCGAACAGAGTCTGCGTGCGAAGGACGAGCAGAAAGGCCATTCAATCAAGACGTTTGTCACTGCCCAACGGAGTCTCCGGCGACCAAAGGTTTTGTGGGCTAACTCAAGCTACTCAGACTGGCAAGAAACCTCTATAGCAGTAATGCTCGATTTCTCTTCGAACTGCTGCAAAATGCAGACGATAATCGCTTTACCCTCGCACGGGAACACAACGAATTACCATTTATTTCATTTAACGTCTATCCCGATCGTATCATTGTAGAGTACAATGAGGATGGATTCAGGATTGAAGATTTGTCGGCTATCTGCTCTGTTGGGGAGAGCACCAAAGCCGCATCTCACAGCTATATTGGGGCAAAGGGCATCGGGTTCAAGTCCGTTTTCATCGCGGCTTGGAAGGTTCAAATCCAGTCCGGCAATTTTTCCTTTCATTTTAAACATAAAATAGGTGATCTTGGTCTTGGAATGGTTCTACCAGACTGGGAGGACTCTGAATACGAATGCCCTGATCGCTTAACCCGAATCACTCTTTATCTTCACACGGAAGGAGAGCCGCACGCACTCGAGCACTTCCGCCAAACCATTTTCCAGCAACTCGGTGATCTTCAGCAAACTTCTTTACTTTTTTTTGCGGAACCTCAAGCAGATAGGAATCTTCTTCTACGATGGCAATGGTGGGATGAGGCGATCTAAGACTTTTTCGTGTCCGTGATGCGCCTGGCCACAGTGTCTTCCTCGAGGCTACTGTCGTGGAAGGAGATGAGAATTCTACCACAGTTGGGCAACGCTATCACATCACTAGATACACTGCCACCGGGCTTCCGACGAGCGACAGTCGTAACGCCCCAGGGAAACATGAAACCGATACGGCATTTTCGGAGGCGGAGGTCGTCTTGGCGTCCCCTCTCACAGCAGATTCAAGACCTTTGCTGGAGAAACCGGACATATTTGCCTTCTTGCCAGTCCGTGAGTCGAGGTTCAAAGTGAGATTTCTTCCATTCCGTGTGATAGTAACCTTCCGGTACATACATGTATTTACTGGAAGAATAGTTCCTAATACAATCCGACTTTGACACTAGCGCAAATCGGCAAGATATCTCTACGACTTCGAGAAGAAACTGTCGGGATATATCCTTCTATGAGGGATATCATCCCTTGCTTGCTAAACGCATTCTTGCGCCAGCCTGCGGCTCCGGTGTTGTGACCGCCGAGTGCCGGCGTGTAGGGTCCAGGGGTGTTTTGCAACCAGACAGACGATCGACATCTATCTACATCAATCAATTTACTTTCTGCTTTTGGAGCATACATGCTGTCCACTTAACTGTGTACACAGTACCTAGCTGGTGATACCAACAGAAACCTTTGCCTATTACCTCATATTGCCTCGGCATTCGTTGGGGTGGTGTTGGAATTCTGCGAAGACCCAGAGTTGTGCTACGCATGGCCAAGCTTCCTTCCATCAGTAGATGATGACATGGGTAGCTTTTGGTCTCCTCTGGCTATATCTATCAGAGACTTGATTGCCGTTACCCCGGTTTGGAGGTCAAGGCACAGCAACAGGCTTCGTGTGATAGACTCCATAGTGATTCTTCCAGAGGACTTTATGAATAGCGAGGGGAATCCATTACTGGACGACTCAAGCTTGGATCCGTTCATATCCACCGCATACCCAGCCGGGCTAGTTGAGACCCTCGAAGAGTACGGACTCGGGGTGGGGACTTTTGACCTAACTCTCAGAATGCTGAAAAGTGATCTCGAAAGCTCTACCTCTAGAGTCAAGTCATCTGTTACAAGCGCAGACTTCCACTCCCGCATTTCACAACTTTTGTCGAGGATTGAAAACGAGGACGAGGACGAAATGCGTACTCTCCATGAGCTTGCTATTCTTCCTCTACGAAATGGTGAATGGGTTTCTGCTAACAGCGGCCCGGTATACCTACCAAAGACTGGTGAAATAGACATCCCGGCTCACGTGGATCTTCGCATTTTGGACCCAGCAGCAGTTGCCAATGAAGACCGCAGAGCTTTTTTCATACACTTGGGAGCAGTGGAGCCGTCGATTAGCGCAGTTCGATCTGCAATACTCGCGAATTATAGCCCGTCGTATAGCGGGGTTTACATGGAAGATTCGAGAGCTCATCTGCGTTACCTCTATCTGACACACGAGCGCCGTCAAATTGAAGATGATTTTTGCGATATTCGTGTTTACTGCGATCATGGCTTTACGAATAATCCACACGAAGAAGAGATCTATCTGCCAAGCAACCACCCATATGGACCGGAAGCCCTCCTAGGGCCAACGGAGTACTCCCAGGGCATGGAAGTATTGCTCATGCATTCAACATACTTTGAGAACATTCCAGCAAGGCCTCATTCAAACTACCCATCGTGGCGAGCATGGCTAATCACTTCACTTGGAATCCGCGAACGATCGAGTCTTGTTTCATCAGACGGTGATTCTCTTTCAGATAGCTGGATCTATGTCGCGGAGTCTCGCCCGGAAAGGCTTCTTGGACTATTGAAATGGCGTGACTCCCCTGCTTCAAACAGTACACAAATGATGGCGCAAGGATATGGAAGTGGATCTTCAATCCCACAGTACCATTCCTGTCATGGCCATTATTTGCAAAGGTACTCATGGAATTGGGGCTGAACACAATCCGAGCAGTGCGCGATATAGCTATTGCTGCACGCAGACATCTTTGGGCTAATAATTTGTCATGGATCTGTAATTCAGTGTGAAGACCACCTGCATAGGGGTATCCTTGACCGGTTGGATGGGACCTAAATATATGCGCAGTAGGCTTGGACTGAATTCTCTAAGTGTTTCCATGGCACCAGTATACATCTTGTTGTGCATTCCTGGGAAGAAAAGCATGCCACTCGCGGTTTCGGAATCCATAAGCAGGGTGTGCCAGACCCGGGACAGGGGTCGGGGGAGTTCATGGAAGCTAGAGACTGATAAACCTTTGTTTGGGCACTGGGTTTGCGTCAGTATAATTCTACCCTAGCTAGATTTTGACGAGGAATGGTTGGGTACCAGAAGAGTTCGACCCTGGCACGAATCGTCATGGCTGTGCCCGCGGAGATATCTTGTCTGTCTGGATATATCGCTCGGCTGGAGATTCTGTCGGTGCAGCAGCTTCAGCTAGTCCGTTCTGACTCATAGTGGGATACCCCGCTTGACGTTCATGCTCCTCGTGGACAAGATGGACGCTGACAAATCGCACAGAAACCCGTCCTATCATGCCTAGGCTGAAACAGAAAACACAGCAGCACTTCCTATGATTTGCCTCACGTTTAAACAATGGTTATTACGGTGATGGTGCGCTGTATATCGGTGGTTGCTTTCATGCTGGAGTCAAGGCAATGATCGAAATATAATTTCCTTGTTGAGAAAGCCCAGGACTGATCGCGTGATGCCTGGACATGTCAGACACCTGGCTCATTGGAAGGACTAGAAAAATGAAGATGCCCTCCGTATTCTGCGGGAATGGCGAATTACTGCGTCCAGTATAGCTGTCCTCATTTAAGAAAGCGCACCGCGTCTGTTGGACACTGTGGTGCGTGGTCTGGTCTATCTAGATGGCCTTCTCGCCTGCCTGAAGATGGCAATTGTTCATATCACATTCTTGCTATCTAGCGCCATGTCGACTCAGAGTAAATCAATATTGTTGTTTTTACAATTGAGTGCGTCATTCAGTAGTCTATATTCCGCCGAGCCCTTCCACTATACCAAGTTAGGATATTTCCTTCATACAGTAGTTTCACCAAGGAAAGTACGGTTGAATATGAGAGTTAACCCTTCACGAACAGAATTGTTCTTCTCGGATCCAGATGGGTAGAAATCTTCTTTTTGCCCGATAAGCACACTCGATGACCCCTGCCACGCCTTGAACATGTGCCCGACGAACTCATCGAAGAATCTCAGGACGACTCTCCAAAATCAATATGTGATACAATATCAATATCACCATTGATATCTGGACCGATCGTGACATCCTCAAAATACACCCAAAGCTCACACCCCTCCTCCAGCCAGGAGTTGTCGATGTTGATGTTGATGTCGCCCGTGGCGTGCATGCGGACTCGGTCAAAAACTATGACGATGAGGCCGCCGTTGTTACTCGCTGAAATGGAGATGTTGATGTCCCCATTGGCAATAATCTCGCAACTGTCGATAGCTACGTATGTGCCGGTCCTTGCACTAGTACTTGGGCCAGCCGCCTCTACTGAACTGCAGACTGCGCTATCGGTGATGGTAACAGTCCGACGGGTGCAATTCAGGCTGCAATTGCCGTTGATTCGTTTGGCAAGTGAACGGATTGGATCGGATCCGGTCACAGCGACTGTGCTGTTGTCTGCGAGGATCCGGGCAATATTTTCTCGGATTTGCTCGGCGGCTTCGTCGGATAACTCCCCATTTGTGCTAGGGAGACCTGTTATCCCTTGCAGGGAAACAAGGAGGGCACAGAGAAGAGGTATAAGTCTGACAAACATTGGAAGGTAGATTCGTCAATGATGGGAGATGACGTCAAGCGAAAGGGATGGGAGGCAGCAGAAGCACTGGGAGACGGGGACGGCGGTCTACAAATAAGTATATTTCGGCTCTCGTAGTTACGATACCAACCTTCCACCTATCATTTGTTTTGGACATTTTAGAACAACTTCCCTATTCGGTGTAACCCTAGCTGACTGTTAGCATAATCCTTCCTCGGATATAGTGGAATTTTCAGCTCGGAATCCTCCTGTAGAACCCATCTGGGACGCCTGGAAGGAGTAAATCAAGCAATATCGGAGTTGCTGCGAGATGGAGTCTGAGGATGGGTACTGTGCATGCCTCATTTCCCCCTTTCCCCCCCCAAAAATACCCTCTCCCTCCAACCCGAAGTTTTTGGACCATGACAGCGAGGAGGGAAAAGTGGGAAGAAAAATCCTCCACAGACGGACTCGTCTTGCAAGCATATGTTCTATTTTTCCAAGTGGAGTAGGATTCGTTGTCTGCTCCTATATTGAGCATGCGTCTAGAGAAGACAGCTCGACTGATCTTAACTCCTTGTCTACCACAGAATATAATCGGGAATATAAATGTGAACCACAATGTAGTTTATTCAGCTATAATAGTCATCGACATCGCGCTGTATTTTACTGCCCTTGAATACAGTCCGTTAGGCGCTGCTACGCACTATCTCTGCAGTCTCTTGCTATCACTGATCGACCTGTGAGAAAAGTCAGACTTCTCGCCTGAGTCATAAAACGGACTCCGCGTATTGCTAACACTCACTTGGAAGCAATAATATCTGCTAAAGCACCGCGTATTCAATCCAGTCGAAGCGTCAATCTTCTGGAACAATTGCCGGCCATTGTCCTTGAAGCAATTAAAGCCTGCGTACTCATTTGTCCCCGGACCAGAAAACTGTCCAACAGCCTACATATCGTATAGTTAGCACGGATTTAATGCGAAAATCTTTGTTGCAAGACCTACATAGCTATTGGCATCCGCAACAATGGATGAACAGAATTGGACTCCGGTGTCAGCATACGTAGCACACTTTATTTTTGAAATATATTAGCAAGACCTTTCTTGAAGGTTGTGGGGAAAAGGGAAAGGAGATTCACGATTCTGTTTCCTTCATAGATTAAGACTGAATTGGTTGATGCATAGGTGTTGTCATTAGGGAGCTCCTGGTTTTGAGATCCAGTCACAGCATTCCCATAGTAAGGAAACTGCGAGCTCCAGGTGTTGTTGGTTGACTCCCAGCAGTAGGTCAGGTACACTCCATCGGTGCTGGCGCGAGGCTGGAGCGTGGTATGGGCCCGAGTACAAGGGACTGCGGCGGCAGCGAGAAGGCCAATGATGCTGTAGCGAAGCATTGTTGGTGATAACAAGAAGCAGATTTTCGCGGGGACTTCGACCTTTGTTCCGCCTTCGCGTGGTAGATGGCAGTCGATGTGTGATGAGGGCAATAAATTATATAAGAGGAAACCGGGCAGCCCGGGACCTGGCTAAGTAATCAACTTGTGTTCTCGGAGGTCATGGACTCTAGTGGCTTGCGTAGTTTCAAGAGACCTCATCTCTGTGAACAGCCTCTTGTCTGGAACGCTACCAAACTCCAGTATCTCAAGCGTAACGGGGATTTCCGAAAGGTTGGATTTGTTTATTGCGCTCATATGGAGTAATATCATTCATCACACAGTGTGGCTTGATCACATGGGTCATGCAGTTGGGGAAAGTGGGGACCGGTAGAGGGACTGTTCCTACTGTAACGGGGTTAGTTGCGGCTGATTAGATTGACTTTGTGCCAAGGCCTCTAAGTGTATTAAGTAAATGTACGGACTAGTCCGCAGTCTAACAGGTAATCGTCCAATCACGAACCGGAGACCCGTCGACTTTGGTGTGCAAGGTACTGCGGCTGAATTTAGGAGAGATCACTGTAGGCTTGTGACTCAATATTGGAAATAATGTATAAGAACTATACTCAGATTGGATCGGGATTTGCTGGATCGGGCTTTGCTGCTGACCATGTTACCGGCTTCTTATCCACGCCTCGAGTGCACGGAGGATCTGGGCTGGTCAGTGGAACAGCCTGTGGATTCATCTGTTGCAACCCGACGGTGAATCTTTGGCCTGACAAAATACTGACTCAGCTCGTGTCTCAGCGCCATCGGACTTGCTGCGAGCGAATGACGGTGCAGGTATGAATTTTTCCATTTGAGCAATCTCCAGTAACCTGTCTGAGATAGGGATGGTAATCTGAGCAGCTTTGGTCGTAGACGGATTTCGGTCCGGATTTTCTTTGCCGGATCATGTAAACCTGGGAACACAGAGTTGTTGGACCATATATAGATAGGAACCCCGGGCCCATTGTGAAGACAGCACCCACAGAGGGCCTTGCACACTTTGATTTCTCTGTCTCTCCACCTTCCAGTCCTCAGATACGTGATACTAAAAGCTGTTGTTGCAAACATGGTCTATATCAACTTCCCGAAGATTCTGGCTCTCTTTCTTGGTTCAATCGCTTTGAGTTCCACTGTGAGCGCAGACTACATGACCGATTGGTGTCAGGGCATTCAATTTATCAACGATGGAAACTTCATGCTCATGTGGTGTCAAAATACGAGTGGCTCGTCAACATTCCCCCTCCTCGTCGTCACGAACCCTGGGAATTGTATTGGAAACGATGATGGAGTACTGGAGGTAGGATGCCACGACCGAGCTCGATGAGTTTGGATTTAAGAATTGCTAACTTGCTTGCCGTCTCTAGTGCGGATCGGGGTAAGTTATTTCTATCTTCCTGCTCGCATTCTTCTATGTTTAGTTCCCACTTCTTTGCCCACCTCAAAAAAAGGAAAGTGACCAGTAACTGACCCTAAGTGCACAGATTCCACAAGAGTTGCACAAGCACGGTAAGCCTAAGAAATAACCCTTATTTCCCGGTCTGCTGGCTGATTGAAACTTTCTCTCTTCTAAAAAAACAGCAATGGTCTCTGAATTCATACTCCGCATCAGATGATGGAATTTATATTGACCCGACGATTATTGGCGTCTGCACAACCGCTGCAGCCAAGAAGCGGCTCTCTCAGGTCCATGTAAATGATTGCCTCAGTTATAACCCGTTCGACTATACCATCACATGCACATAGAGAGGAGGCTTCGAATATCGTTACATGTCATTGAATGAATTGTCTATTTTGGACTTGTGGGCGGCAATCGACAGTATTACTGCACGGACAAGGAAAGAGATAGGGACGGATGATAGCGCCGGAGGGGTTTAGAAATGACAATCTGCCTGTACTGAGAACTCCTTAGTCTCTTGCTGACCAGGATACCGAGTACATATTGTCGCCATTGAACAAAAAGGCCAACAGAATTTTTTGTTGCTTGTGTCGAACTCTTCTTATTTCCAGTAATACATAAACACAACAAGAGTCACAAGACCCAATTGACTATCGCGACCGAGGTTTAGTGGATATGTGGCTCGACCAATGGAATCATTAAGAGGTCTGAATTGGTATAAACGCCCCTATCCGCCAATTAATGTGGGCGAGCTGACAAATAGAAAACAATAGGCAATTTAGATCATCCACCTCCGAACTATGTACTCCGACATCTTCTACCATGAACAAGTAGCAAACTAGCAGCCGTGCCAAGCCCAACCTCGAGGCTTATTAGTCTTGGCAATCATTGCCCGTATAAAGCCCAAACTGCAAACTCAAATTGCGACGGTACGTACAGTGTTTACTCCATCATGATACGCTATTCAAATGCTACATAGCTCCAAATTACTACAGTAAGCATAGAAAGGCGGCAGTCTCATTCCACATTTTCCGAGCCCCAGAACGCAGTATGAACATCATACTTTCGCATGGACACGTTTTGTTGTAATTTGAGGCTGTTGCTGCTCAGGAATGAAGCCGCAACACCGGAAATAATTCCTGCACTATCTATAGGAAGTTCCAAGTTGATTGGAAATCAACTTGGACTTCATGCTGTATATATGGCCTCTGTGTATCCCTCCGAAATGACAAGAATTAAGCTTCCTTTTGTATTTACAACATGAATGAGTAAATCGCCACATGAAACTGCCGCAAGGCTTTTCCAACCATACTAGAAAAAATTCTAAGCCCGGTGGTACTTTCTTCTATACTGGGATGGCCTATAGCGGTTTCCAGTAATTTGATTGCTCGCTCCAGGAGCAATACTGTTCCCAGAAGCGTATGTCACATTCCTAGGAAGCTAGAAACCCGCTATAGGAATATTCTTGCCTATTCTGGGGCGGAAATCTTTCAGGAAATCGGATAAATATTTATAGTAAACCCGGCTTTGAGCCTAGAGGAGCATTGACAGGTTATGTACATGGAAGTCATCGAATAAGAACAGCTCTAGCAATATGGAATACGGTCTTTGGTGGGCGCATTTGATCGCGTGTATGTACGAGAATAGGAATCACGGACATGGATGGCGTAGTCAAAAGCAATAGTGAATTGTTTTCACCAGGTGATTTCTGGCACGATTTGCTTGATATTACAAGCTATGGCGATTTCAGCACCTGGTTGATCCTCCATATTTTTACGCTTTGATGTTATCTGTTTACGTGCGCATAAGTGGGACAATGTCACGTGTCGGGCGCGGACAGCCAATGGTCGCGACTAGGACTAGGGGTTCAACTCCCGAGGAGGTTGAACCCCAAGTTGAACCCCCTCCCCTCGCGCCATCTGTTTGCAATTACCAGCATACTCTCTTCTTGTATTAGTCAACGTCTATGCTTGATTCTAAACACTGCTTGAGCTATATGTTGCATTCAAAGTCTTCAAGGCTGAGCCTCGAGGACGTGTAGCCCCGGATGTCTGCGCATTCAATCTGTAACTGGGCTAAAGCGGTAAACTATTGCACATATATATATACCGTGATATATACACATTCACACTCCAGTATCACCAGAGCAGTACCAACTACCCTACATTTAGATGTACTAAGCCCGGGAAACCCATGCCGAAGTATTATAGAATAATATGACTCCCATGAATATAGTCTCTAGATATCTTTTCTTATTTCCCACGATCAGGTAAAATGCACGGACCTGTTCGGCCGATTTGAGATGCAGAACATGGCGTCGTAGATTTGTTTCGCAGCGCATATTATTCCTCACCCACGCATCATGGTCATAACCTTGGGTAAACACAATTGATATTTTTTCTTTCTTTCTTTCTTTCTCTTTTCTTATAAAAAGGTACGCCCCGGAGCTCAGTGGATAACAGAGGAGAATAGATCCAATGGTGAGGTGGGCTGGCTGGCTAGGACGAGTGGGGCGAATGGTCCGCGCAAAACAAAGTCGTTGAGTCGTTGAAGCAAGTCCAACGCAGCAAGATTTCAACGTGGATATCTCTCAAAGTCGAAGCACCAGCGCCAGCAGAACAATGGATTGTAAAATCTCACCGACATAGATATGTGTCCTGTTAGGCAGTTGATGGTGTTCTTTACATCTAGTGAATTGGTGGGCTACTAAAGAAGGTAGTGAAAAGAGAGGGTGGTGGAAATTGGGATTGCATTATCACAGTAAAATCTCCACTTCTAACATAAGGGAACTATGATAGAGACGAGGCAAGCCACAAGTCCTTCTGTATCGAGTGCGGGATGCCTCCCGGTTTATTCGATGCTATAGGCTAGCAGTTGAAAGCAGCGCGCTTCAAGTATACTGTCCACCATTTATATTCAGCCCAGTACAGAGTACGACGAGAATATGTTATGAAAATGAGAGACCAGATTGGATTTTGAATGAGCCAGCGGCGGAGAAGGATTGGAGTCCATGTCTTCAAACCCTGGAGGGGCATAGTGGTTAGGTTCAGTCAACCGGCTGGTCGCAAGATGGAAGCCGATGGAAGCCGACTTGCATCAGGGTCCTCGATAACACTATCGTGATCTGGAATCCGTCCACCGGCCAGTGCCTACTACTTCTCGACGGGCATGTTGGCTCGGTCAACTGCGAGCGGTAATGCGGCAGTACCGAAGAGATGAACAATTATCTCGTGACTGCCTCTCACGGCCCTGTGAAATTCCTGGTACTCGCGGTTGTGGACCCAAAAATTCCATTCTTTTTTAGTCCACGCGACTTTCCTTTCAAGAAACACCTGCATATTCTTGACCTTCAGGATCATATTCATCTCCTCTTCTAACGAGGTGCATCCCATAGCCGCTGAACAAGATTGACAGATTGTATTTATGTTGATGCGTCGCTTAGCAGGAAGAAGGTGAGACCACAAGACTGTATAAGAGGATCCTGGGTCATACGGGACAAATCTGATATCTATCTTTTGGGTTCCAAATACCGTGCATGATACACATGACCAGTACACCCTTCCTTTCATTCTGAACAATATTAGATTTCCACAACCAATGTCGAAATTCTCTCAAATCTCACCTTAAAGTGTTGGCTTAGAAAAGCTTCACGAACGGAAGCTTTATATGAATATATGTGGCACGAAATGGAAGTTTGCAGGTTTTAAACTGATGAAGATGATCTCTTATATATTATTCAGTCATCCTTATAGTGACTCGTCGAATCTAGGATTCCGAGACAGATCGATTGTTCGAAGCACTAAATCCATATTCTGAGGGTGGTGTGTAATCAGTGTATTCCGGAGTGGGTGCAGATTGCCAATCGTGGCTCAACGCACTGGGCGTGCGAGGTTGAGATTGAAAACGGTCGGAAAATGAAGCGTTGGCAGCACTCTCCAGTCGAAGGCAACGTTAGCACACCAGGCCCTTTGGTTTCAACAGGCGGTGGGTTCAGCTGAAGAATTCAGCATTTTCTTGAGACCATAGTAAACGCATTGCCCACCAGATTTGGGTTTTCTACTTATGCACGTCTTTTCGATAATTCAACAAGTTCTGTCAGTGGGATCAGAGGAGTTGACTGAAGGTGGAATGGTTTTGACATCGTGGCCAGAAAAGAGGCTGCCCCGTTTTCTTGGCATATTGGGTTTGTTTGTTAGGGAGGAGTTTCTAGAACGAAGAGCCCATACGGGACCATGAAATAGCCATTTTGGTCTAGTATTTAACAGCGGTAATAGAATACCGCCAAGCACGACTCCAGGGGCAGCCTAACTGTCATCGGTGTTGTTTGATGCAAGATAAAGTTCCAAAACAAATTAAAGTGAAAGAAACAGGTGAAACGATACTTAAGACGATAAACCCTCCGCAGTATCTTTAATCAGCGTGATATTACATAGTAGATTTGTGTTGAGCGTTCACAGTTAGTGGTGACGAATGTGCGTTCAATGACACCATTTAGAACATCAGTCGATGTGACGAAGTAGACCAGTGGTAGAGACGTTTTTGTTCGTATTTTGCCAAGGAGAACGGTGATGATAAAAAGAATAACGACCTGTCTTTCGCCGGGGCAAGCTGAGATGGCGATGGCTAAAAATTCAGGTATTCGAATGAGATTGTGGTTGGGACCATATTAAATTCAAAGGTAAATTGGTCGAAGAGGAGAAATAATGCGCAATGCAGCTGTCAATAATGCGTAGAATCTGAAGTTGCAATCTAATTCAAGGTCAACAATCTCGCCCAGTCCCATGTCAGCAAACGTTGGTGCTGGCGCCTACCGAAAACAACAAAATTTCCTAACTTACAGTATTGTGTGCATGGTTTTAAAGATCGAAGCGCGTTGGAAATTGGACAGACTGAAAAACAGCCGCGACTAGGTCACCAGAGTGACGTTTAGGCCCCCTCCTGTTCGCTCCGTTTGCAGTATCACAAATTTGGATTCCAATTTAAACACATACTGTACCCTTGAAACCCTCATAAACTCTCTTCCCAGCGTTAATGTTAAAGAGAATTCAGTCAACAATCTGCCAATCTATATAAATAATCGAGATGATCCCTGCTAATATATTGTCATTCTCAAAATTGCTAAAGAAGGAGAACAGAATTTCCTCAACATGAACCACCTCTGCACTTGGATGACCTTTTTTGTTCGATTTTGGTCCACAGCGAAGCCTATGGACAACTCTCTGGTACCACAAAACCCATGGAAAATCCTCTGTTTATAAGCCGACTCTCATCGGTATCCACTTTCGGGAGTACAACAAACTCCAGCGGCAGTGGCGTACAATACTCAGGCAACGTCGGTATCCCATATGGAAGCAATATCATTGAGGTCTCTCATGACGTCGCCAATCAATATAAATATGTTTTGAGATTTGAGGGACCCGCCACGGGGGGAAATTGGACCGTGGTCCTTTGGAACAAAATTGGACCCGATGGTTTGCTCAGCGGATGGTACGGGCATGGCTGTAAAATGTTCACCCTGACACCCGGCCAATACCGGTACATTGCGGTTGATGAGGATTCACAAGGTGGATGGGCTGCTGCTCCGGGAGTTTCTATACCTCTCGATTCGCAAGGCGGTTATGCTTCAACTTGGGGCGAATTTGACTTTGGTTCGTCCATCAACTCTGGTTGGTCAGGATTTGATGTGTCCGCTATCGCTGCACAGAATGCGGGTCTATCGGTGCAAGGGATGAAGATCTGTGACGTCCTCACAGCCATCTGCTCTTATATCACGAAAGATGCCACCGATGTTCATAACGCCTACATTCGTGCCCTTGCCGGAGTGGGGGTATTGGGGGAAACCTTTCGCCTGGGCCAGTCAGACTCGCAGTCACCATCGATTATGATGTATCCTCTTAGCTAGCCACTCGGCCAAGCCTCCTCCTTGTCCAGCAGAATGGGCGACATCCCTTAGAATAACCAAATTGAGTGAAATGATCCTGGGGTCTGTAGTCAGGACTGGTATCATACATCTGCAAGAACTAGAAATCGGCTCTCGAATTTTGTAATATCTATCTTGTAGACCCCGTCCTGGCGAGGTGAAATACCTTGTGTGATGATCGCCCACCACTTACGGTACCTGCACATTGAAGTACACACTGTGTCAACAAGAGTTTACAGAGCCTCCTCAGCTATGCCATTGCTGTTGAATAAATTGCACGTGGATGAAATAAATTATTGCAATTAAAGTGTAATTAAGATTTGATCAGCAGCAAAGTGTCCCAAGGGAAGAGGCTGACCATGGATAGCGGTAGTGGTACAAGAGTCACAATTCCTAACACAAGCCTCCCTTGACGAGTTGAATTGAAATGGAACAACCAATCTTCTGCAATATTGATTAGATTTATATCGAAAACTGAGAGATTTTTGAAAGTAGGAATGGAACAGAAGCTGATTAAAACTTGGGGAGAACATTCCGTAGCCGACATATTCACTTGCAGACACTCGCACACAGAAGCCATGAACAAGTGATGTTGGCCATAGCAAAAGCAAGCGATCGCTCACCGAGAATGAGACTCGCAAACATAACGGACACAAAACAACAACCAGCTCTTCTTGTATCCTCCTTTATCGTGCCATAGAGACACTATTCCAACTCAATCATCCTGAAGGCGCGTTTCTCGCTCGCCTTCAAAACCTCGACAATCCCATCATTCAAGGCAGCCACAGCTTGCCTACGGCCAAACAGCTCCAGAGCCTGATCGTTGCAGCACTGGCACAGTACATCACATTCGGCAGTCAGCCACTCGATTGACCTCTGAAGATGACGTTGCTCTTCCTCAAGTCGTATCTTCAATGCAGAATCGATCACGTAGCATTTCCACAAGCAGAGATACAAGTCAAGAAGGCCAACGATGGGAGCTGCGAGGGAGCTGTGATGACGCAATATGTATTTAAACTCCGTGGTGAGGCTTGCTGAAGGAGCGGGAGCCTAAATCAATCAGCATAGTCATACAATAAGTGGGAGGCTATATAACCTTGTTTCCGTCCGCCGAAATGATTTTCTCAGGTGGTTGATCGTGAATTTGCTCCGGCAACTCACCGTCAGTCTCTCGATGTACCTGTTGTCTTTTGGAGGACTGGAATTTAGGAGAAGACAAAGGACGTTTGGAAGAGCTCATGGTGTTCGTGTTGCTGGATGTAATCTGACTCTCATGAGTGCTTTAAATAGGCTGCAGATCTCTTCATGACATAGTATAGATAATCTCACCAGTGCAATGGTAGCCTTCAAAACGTTGGCGTTCACAGTTTATCAAAAACGATCAAGTTCCATCAACGTTGAGACTTGGCCCGTCGAACCCAGTTTTTAAGTCGATAGCCTCGACCGCCCTTAACTCTCAGATCATTGAACGGAATCCATCGCCATGGAAGGAATTCAATGTGGCCTATGCAAATGGCCACAGGAGGCACAGTTCGGTCGTGTTCGTCTCGGATTGTGATATCAAGCTGGGGCTTGACCAACCTTCTCTTGTCTATACAGGTTCCGTATTTGACGGCGTAGGTCAAGGCACTTTCTCCCTCTCGATTTTGTATCCGAAGATCAATCTTCTGATGACTGAGCAGAAGTTCGAGAACATCTATCGATCCATGTTGAATAGCTCTCATCAACGGAGTCTTTCCATGCGGGAAGGTGTTGGCATTGGCGCCATAAAGAAGCAGGAGCTCGGCCCGAGCATAATCGTTGTCTCTGGCTGCCAGGTGCAGGAGATCGCTGTTCTGGTACTGAATGTTGTACTTGAGGATGCTGGGCTGCAATCTGCAGTAAAGATTCCAACATGATTTACCCAAGGAGACCATGTCACAAACGTTGAGCTGAGTGACAACGAGCATGAGAATTTGGTTCGGTAGACTTTGGAGGATTGCCTGCAGGAAATTAGCCAATGCCCTCACGAAAGAATTGAGATTTTTCAGCAGCAACATTGAACAGACCATCGTGGAAGATAAGCTCTTTAGATTGCGACAAGTATGCAGAAGACGGTACAGTAAGCTGTGGATGAGACGAACTTGTAATACTGCTTTTCTGGCGCAGGCTTCGGCCTTATATATTGGTCACGATTTCTCAGGACTGCTATTCTCAATGAACGGCTCCTGAAGAACCATCAAATGTTCCCGGAGACAGTGTGTTCGTCGCGGGGATCATACTTATGAGCTCCAGGGAGCCCAGGATATCCTAGGAGCTCTTCTAAGACGACCAGAGCATGCAAGTGACTTGTGGTGGGGCATAACCCGCCAGAATGCTTGGGCTGCGTGCTATAATGGGCTCAACCTGTTTGTGGTTGCCTGCACAGTATCGACTGTCTAATCCGTCTTTATTTGCTATACTGTATCTGTGACAACAATAGCAATCGGTTGTTCGCCTGGTGCTGTGCGATTATTGGTGCTATTTTGATGTACAACTTTAAAGCAGGAGCGTACAGTGGACTAAAGTGCCATGAGAGACGTCGACGCCTCAACTACTGATGACGTTACAATATCCACGAGAAGTCTCGGCGCCAGAGGCTCGTACCAACTAGTTAGCTATTAGAATTCTGGGAATTTGCCGTTACTTTCCTGGGTCCAGCGATTGGAGCGTTCCGATTTAAGGAAACCCAGCGATATAAGGTCACACAAGCCACGGCTGTTCAACAGAAGTATCATGGGAAGGGCGTCCAAAGGTTTTCTCATTCATGCTTTCTCTGACAGTCTAGAATTGCACCCTCCGGTATTGTTTACATCGAGTGATTTCATTGCTTCTTGCTCATGACGTATCAAGCTCTCCATTCAGTTTCCCAGTTGTCTCCGAAATGGCTTGCCCACAGAACCTGAACCTCATCGCGGGTATCCTCGGTGACGTCTTCCCATTCTCCATTCATATTTTCCAGCATGTCAGCGTCTACAATGTCGAACGTATGGCCGGCCCAGTCTCCCTTGGCCAGATATTCTCCTCCTGCAATGCCGGTTGAACTTTCAGACGACCAACAGATTCGCATCAAAACTATATGACCAATGGTGATTGCAGATGGCAACTGATCCTCCAAGACATATTGACCGGTAGTCAAGTTCCTCAGGACTCGATTTTTGAGATTGGCAGATGCTTCCATGGCCGAGATGGTCGTTGCTCCCTCCCCTTCATCCGCGTAAGACTAAAGTTCGAAATTGTCCTCAACGACGTCGTAGCGAAGAGGCTTGGATGTTGCATCGCTGTCGACGGAAATCAGGTGGAGATTGTCTTGTTGAATCGTGGCAGGGAGGTCGTCTGGACCTAAGTAATCCCCAATACAGATGATCCGCATGCTAGCCCACTCCTCTTCAATCAGTTCACACAGTATGTTGGCCCACGGTGAAAAAAGCAATTCCGATAATTTTCCACCAAGTAGTTATGTCGTGTACTCGCGTTCGGACGGGCAAACCATCAGCCAGTATTGGCCCATTGTTTGTTTCTTCGAAAGACAGGATGGAACGGAAGTCTTAGGTCGTGAAAGTGAGGGCCGTAACCGGATTAGAGCAAATTGGATAC